ATTTTTCAAAAAAAAAAAAATTAATATGGTTTTATCTAACGATCCACCCCATGGATCCCCTCCCTCTCGTAAATTCACCACTATCCATATCATATATAAAAATAATATATTATTTAATTATGTATTTATATCCTGTGTAGGATCGTATTCATCATAATTGCATGCACTGTATAGACGTAAATAGTAGATTTAGACATTTAGTTAAATATTACCACATGCGTTCAAACTATACATTATATGATTATTTATTTTATTTAATAATAATTATGATAAATCGTTATATCTAATATATAATAAAATAAGATGTATTCTAATTTCTAAACTATTGAAAATAAACTAAATGATAATATATTTTTACAAAATAAATATTAATTATTTTATTCTATATATCTACGATATAGATTGTGGGTATATAAATATATAGTAATAGTATATAATATTAGTCTAATATTTAATGGCTAAATACTGGCACAGTGGCACGGATCAAGAAATCTGAAATGGAGAGCTGCATTTTGTTTCTTCTGATAAACAATAACCTATATAATTTGAGTACATATATTATGTGTAATATATTAGACGTATTAGATAATATATATTTTTTAAATCGTAATAAATTGTATTTCATATAATGGTAACAATTACACTTATATTTTAAATGTATGACTATTAAGACATATTATTAGTATTTTTTATTATATAGGTACATGCCCAAGGGGGCTTAAATCCCTTTAGACTTAGCCCCCCCAGAAATCAGGCTCCATGTCTGGATGTATATTGTGTATACAATATATATACACGCGTATATTATATTGCACTTTAATGTATAAAATAGTATGCGAAAATGATCATTTTAACAATTCATAAATATAGAGACATTAGGTGTATAGTATTTATATACATATACATAAAATTTCAGTCACTTACAAAGCAGTTAGAAAATAATTAAGTTGGTAAAGGAAAAAAAACTCAATTATGTGACTTAGTGTAAAGCATTGTTACTATAAGTACTCATATATTTAGTTATATAATTACCACATATAATAGTATACCTATATATAGATGTGTATATCTGCTCGCAAGTATACCTACCTATTAAAGTCCATATACGACATAAAGGTTATAATATTAAAATAAATGTAAAATAATTAAAATATCTAATGAATATTAATATAATTTAATACAGCAATACCTATAGAATTACTAAATTGGTATCTATATATTAATTATCTATACCAATTATAAATCCGTTAAGAATCTATAAACATATTTAAGTCAATACATTTAATCATTATTAATCAAGTTGAAAAATACAATCTAAATTCTGAATAATAATTGTTAATTAATAACCACAAATTTGAAAAAATCGTTACGACTAATGAGATATTATGTAAAGGAATACATAAAGGTTGCTCATAATAAGTTTTTAATGACAAAACATAAAAAATTAAAAACCACAGAAGAGTTTGTTTTTTAGATATTCATCTATATTATATATATATATATATATATATATATAGTGCATCAGTGGATATCAAGCATGACGCCGTGCATACTACAAAGTCCATTAGATCTATAAACGATGATTTAATGCCTAATAATATAATACAATCCACAGCATGATAATGTGTATAATTCTATTACACTGTATATAATAATAATACATACCTATTTCCTATAAATTGGTATCTACAATCTTTTTTTTTATTAAATAAAATATATTAATTAATTGATTAAACAAAAAGTTGCATTGTGTGGTGTTATATAATATGCACACAAATTTAATCTCGATTTTTGTTTTAGATAAAATGTGACATAATATTTTGTTATTAGGAAGTTTTAAATAAGGCAGCAAGCCGGACAAAAAGTTCTGGCAAGTCGCCAGTTGGCCATCGCTGATTTAAGACAATATCTTCTCTAATCTCTATACTTTAACCGTCTAAAATATACAGGACGGAGCCACCATGTTTTCCTATTTTTCGGCGTGAGTTATAAAAGAAAAAAGAAAAACACGGTGGCTTGCAATTTCTAATTACCTACACTGTATTAAATTAAAAGTAAATTACGTTATTATAACTTGTATACAATTTTCGTACAAACTACAAATTAAATACTTCATAATATTTATGAATTTTGCCATACCTAAACAATTATTGGAATTTTAAAATTTGGAATTAATGTCTCGTGTGTACAAAAGGCGTTTGTCAATTAGAAATTTACTATAAAATAAATGTTGTTTTTACACAAGTTATTAATTAATTATGAAAATTATTGATCCCACTATTATTGTTATACTCTTACATTACGTTTGTGTTCAATTATCACTTTCCTATTTTATTAGATAAGTACCTATATTTAAATGCCAACCACCAACAGGTTTGTCATGGATAAAATATGACACTGACATATTATAATATTTCAATACGAATTACGAATAAGTAGGGTTTCTATTATATTACTAGAACAAATTAATACTTTTTAATAAAATGTTTTTAAAAATGTATCGTTTGTACAGTTTGGGAGACCCTGGTTAAGCCGAACTAGTTCCTGAAAATATCCCCCTTGTCTAATGAGCACACATGTATCATGTATGCACCCATTACGGAAATAGACCCTTGCCCTTCTGGTATACCATAATACATTATAATGTATTCACGGTCATTATATTTATATATATATATATCTATTATTTTGTCAAGAAGATAATATAAACAATAAGTCATTTTAAACAAATACTATTGATCACGATAAGAATTTAGTCAGAAAACTGTATTTTAAACATTATTATTTTACAAAAAAAATCTTCATCTATAAACTTATTTTCAAACACAAATGTTATACTATAATATTACTAAAATATCCCATTATAGTATTATATCACTTAACATATTTTATACATGAAAAGAATCATACTTCTATTACCTTCGTATTATCATATATATTAATACATTATTATGGTGTGGTATGATTAAATACGTTAATAGTATGGTTAGGTTAGGTTAGGTTAAAATAGTCTGTTGTACGGGTGTACGACCTTATAATGTGTACTACATAATATTTAATCCTTTGAGCATATATAGTGGTGACATACCAAGCGTATTTAACTTACCTATAATTGTCTAAATAGTAAATATTCATAATATATTTTAATTTTTGTTTATGAAATAATCTATAATTTATTATAATCTAGTTGTTATATTAAACAACACAAAATGACGAAATTATTCGTTTTTCAACATTCTTAAAACCATATTACCAGCAACATTTCAAATTTGAATATTATTTATAGATTCACAATATATTTATACAACACTCTAATTACATTATGAATTATAATTTATAATACGTTTATTCAGTTGTTCTGTATGACTATTATCACCCAATTAATACACGGCAGACAGCTATGAATTTAATATTAACTTCTATCTAGCACTTGGCTAGTCTCAGGTAGGTCCCGAATTTTCAAAATGTTATACTGCATTGATATAAGTTGTTACGTATAACAATACGCTTCATCAGTATGTCTGTAAAATGTTAAAATTAATTATTCTTATAGGACAATAAAAATTACTTAAAATACAAAGCACTTCTATATTGATGAAATTCATAATTAGATTTGTACGTCTTTTACTTACATTAGTTTTAATGTTGTAAATGTTGCAATGCACCCAATTTTATTTTATACGCCTGGAATAATATACCAACTTACATATTGCCATATTTTACATGTAGTTATTCTACATTTACTAAAAGATTTTTGGAATTAATCTTATTTAATTACAATTGTCAGCTAAATTGTTGCTTAGAATGTTTAGATTATTAGATTAGACAACTAAATGAAATTGATTAAAATTATTGATTTATTAATGGTATAACACATTTGCGATGTATAGAGCCATCACTTATGTAATTCTCATCAAGCGCATTGCGTACATTATATAAGTAATGCATTGTTGACAATTTGACATGAAATTATGAAATATTTTTCGTGTTTCATCTTACAAGTTGACACTTGTTCAATTTATCTATACATAAATCAATCTATGGACGGGTATTTCGTTTCATAATACGTTCGTATATTTAATTACTAAAAAAAATAAATAAAGGATGCACATAATATACAACAATTATTGTTGGTTAGTGGGAAAAACTGATATCTAATTAAAAAATAAATAAAAAGTAACTCAAGCAGGTAGATCATTAAAAAATCAAAAAAAAATTTTCCCGGCCGGATTTGGGAACCACTTTCGGTTAGGTAATGGAGGGAATAATTTCGCGATCTATCAGAAGAACGAACACCGGGGCTCAATGCACATCATTTATCGTTTATCCGTAAAATGGATCCCGGATCGGTCAGGCGGCCCCTGAACGCAGGTACTTTTTTATTAGGCTATCCGCCAGAAACCAGAACGGCGAGAGATACTCCAAAGACTCTGGACGGCCGGGTTTGGGGAGGTGTGGGCGGGGGAGGTTTGGGTGGTTCAGTGGTTGCGACTGTGATTCACGGAAACAATATATTAATCGTGCACGCAGTATTCTACACTGTTGCTGTTGTTATGATTACGATATCAGACAATAATATAATATAATATAATATTATTATTTCAGTCGTCGTACCAGAGAAACACAAAACCCGAACCGAGCTATCGGCGGCCGTGCAATAGGCAATAGCCGACCAACCGGCGGCGGTAGCGAGCGACAGCCGACGAGCGTGGTGGCGTCGTCTTTCCCCTATATTGCGGCGCACAAAGGACCCCGCGAGCGTTGTCTACCCACCGACGCCGCCGATAACCGTCACTCCCACCAAACACGGCGGCGGCGGAGGTCATTTGATACGGTGTGTGTGTGCGTGTGAGTGTGTGTTCCGTCCCCTTCACCTCGCCGCCGTCGATCGCGTTCCAACAGCACACCGTCGTCGCTGCCGCGACCGCACCGCCAACCACCGCACCACCGTCACCGCCGTCGCCGCACCACCACCGGATTTTGGGGCCCCGACTCGGCCGCGCGTTCGTGTCGGTTGCCGCCGCCGCCGTCGTTTGCCCACCAGTGTTCCCGTCGTATCGAGCCGCTTATACCGCGGCGCAGCACAGATACACAGCATACACCTCACACACACGCGGGCGCGATAATAAACGTTCTTTTATAATAATAGTATACATGTTATGATAATATTAATTTATCGTTACGAAATACGAAAATCGTAAAATAATTTTAATATTTCATTTGCTATAAAATATAATATAATATAATATAATATAATATTTTATTATATTGTATTCTCGCACGAGCGTGTGTATTTTTTTCGTTCCGTCTCTTGAATTCCCCGCCACTAGTCGACTGCTACTCGACTCGTGTCCGTCAGTACACATTCAGACGGGGCCACACGGCGTTTTACTAGACGGTGACCAATAGTACTTGTTTTTCCGCCACGAGATCTGCCACCGTACTGCGGTAATCAACGACGAACAAAATATTATGTGAACTTGGCGCGCAAGTCCGCAACAGAGGAGAAAAAAAACAGACAGACCAGGAGGAACAGTCGCCTACAGATTTCAAACGGCCGCGGTCGTTACACACATCAGCAACAGACGAAGTCTCAGTCGTCGTACGAATAAGTTTTGTCGACGTAACCGTTTCGCAGACGATATACTACCCAACATGGACACTGCTACGTTTTTCGTCGAGGGCACTGCCAATCAGTTCGAGCACGTACTCTCGCTGTATCCGCAAGCGTTGCGCATCAAAGCCGAGGCCAAGACGAAAAAGCCCGAAGACCTCATCAAGCTGGACAACTGGTGAGTGCCCCCCTTTCACCCCCTTCCCCCACAAAAAAAATAGGATACGTTAGGGTTACAATTCGATGTGTTTCGATTTCATGTTTCGTGTATTAGACGTAGGTATTATACATTATTTATAACTGTAAAATTCAACATTTATTATTTTGTAATGTGGTTTTTCACGCGCGTGCGTACGGTACAACATTATTTTGATTTTTGACTCGCGGTCTCGGCAGTCGGCAGTCGTTTCGCAACGCGCGCATTCGACGCGCTCTGTATAACGCTCGGCGGCGGCGGTGGTCGGTTAGGTTGGCAAGGCGGTCGGTCGGTCGGTCGGTCGCCCCGCCGCCGCCGCCGCCGCGTACGGCGTACCCAATCGAGGCCGTGATGACGTTAACGATTTCTTTGTGGAGAAAACGCGCACCGTCGCGCGTTATGTGCGTACTTCGTACGACGCACCGAACGTGTACGAAACGTAAAAACACCACAGCAATAATAGTAATAATAATAATAATAATAATGTAATGTAATGCAATGCAGATGTGTAAACGTCGGACGATTCGATTATTGTACGGCGATGGGCAAATAACGATCTCCGTAAACATTTTTGTGGTACACGAGGTGTACGACACAATCGATGCCATTCATCATCCCCCGCGGACGGTTGTCTCGTCGCCGGTCCGGGTCGTGTTTTGTGACACGGCCCGGTGTATAATATTCGAATGGAAAAAAAACCTCAGAGATATGATAATGACTGTGTACAGGGCGTTCGCCGTGTGTCGACAACATGTTTCCGTTGACGCACGCCGCTTATAATAATATGCTACCTTGACGGTATTATAATAATAATAATAATAATAATAATATAACGCGTGTGATTTCCGTTCGAATCGATGTTTGTAATCACAAACAGTTGTTATTACATTGATTACTCGATCCACTCGGGGCGAACGGTTACGACACCGAACGGCGACATTTGTAAAAATAAATACAACTTGATGATGATCCGTTGTTCAAACTTCAACTGAACAGCGATACCGTGCGATGTAGACAACTGCAGCTAATTTTAACCGATCCAACAAGCCCCGACGTGATTATTTATGTTTCTCGCGTTCCCGATTTTTTATTTGATCCGTAAAATATGGAATACACGTTTCGGTTTTTTAAATTCTGTTGGTAAATTAATTACATAATATTATTATCAATGGACAGTGATAAGAAGTCAAATGTATTTGTACTGATGTCAATATAGTCAATTAACCAAATCCATTCATGGTTTCCGAGATAAGAAACATTCAATTTCAATAACAACTGACGAATGAATTGTGGTTAATACAATTATGGTTCTCTCAAAATTATGCATAAAATATTATTACATTAGAATAATATTGGTAATAATTGTTTTTCTAAATTATTGATTGAGTTAATGTTGGTAGTAATAAGTATTATGTTATACCAGAGACCAGACAATTAATGTAATATTACGTAGAATAAAAACAAAATTAAATATTATTTATACACGTGTATAGACAATACTACAATAGACATTCCAATGTGAAGTGTGTAATTTTGTTTTGCTTTTAAATTGTAATTTATGTTAAAGAACAAACATTAGATAACAATCAATCGTATATTATAATCTTCACACATCAAGGGATAAATATTGAACTATGGGTAATACTAAAAGATAATGTTGTACATACAAAATAATCATCACTTAGCTCATTTAGCCACTTATTTCATATAAATTAGTTAATAAAAATTTAAACAGTTATTTTGTTTATGCAATAGTTTGTCATCAATATTCTCTGTTTAACTTTTTTTTATATTGTTCTTTTGTAGGTATCAGAATGAATTACCAGGAAAAATCAAGTCCCGGGGAAAAGATGCACATTTAAATCATGAAGAAATTTGCCAAATAATGAAATGGAAGCAAACAGTAAATTTGAATTTTTTCATGCCACATATTGAATGAATTATTACTTAAAATAAATTTTTTTTGCAGAGAGGAAAAACTTTCCCTCAATTGAATTACTTAATTAAAGTGAACACACCACGTGCTGTTATGGCTGAGACAAAGAAAGCTTTCAAAAAATTACCCAATTTAGGACTTGCACTTACAGCGTTAAGTAATTTGAAAGGCGTTGGAACCACAATGGCCTCAGGTATAAATACTTAAAAATATTTTATTTTTTGAATGCAATTATATTTTGATTTTAATATTTAATACTTTTTTTTTAGCTTTGTTAGCAGCTGCTGCACCAGATAAAGCTCCTTTTATGGCTGATGAATGTCTAAAAGCAATACCAGCTATTGAAGGAATTGACTATACTGCTAAAGAATATTTGAACTTTGTAGCCCATATTCAGAACACAGTGGAAAGACTTAATAGTGAATGTAAGTAGGAAGTCTTACCTATAGATTTAAATAATTCATATTTCTTAAACTATACCTTTATTAAATTTTTATATTGCCATTATTTTGTAGGTAGTGAAAATACATGGAATCCACATTCAGTAGAATTAGCATTGTGGACACATTATGTGGCAAATGAATTCAAACCTGAACTTTTAAGTAGTGTTCCAGAACCAATTAAGAAGCCAATTAGTGAACAAACAAATACCGATGCTCATACTAATGGCAATGTTAATCAAACAAAGGTTTTTATTGTTTTGTTATTTCAGTACTCAGTTATATTTTTTTACTTGATATATTGATATTGGATTACAGTTGGATGAACCAACATCTGATGATAGCAATCCTGAGCCATTACCGCCGTCCAATGGTCACCAATTAACAATTGAAGATGATTCTCGTGACAAGTCTGAAGATGATATCACCAATGACTCTATAACGACATCAGAATCAGCTCAAACACCACTTGCTGAAGCTTTAACAGAGGACTCATCTAGTCTGCCTGCCCCCGATGAGCCCCCTGTAAAAAAATTCAAAAATGAAGTCCAGACAGTGGCTGCGGAAGCCAATGGCAACTAAATTGGTTAAATGGTTTTAATTAAGCCAAATGGACCACCATAAGTTTATAATTTTAGTGACAAGTTAACATTGGAGAAAATATTGTTTGAAACAAAATTAATTGATAAAAAAAACTCCATATTTATCAGACTTAATTATGTAATTATAACTTTCAGTTATACAATTTTATTTACATATGAAATATTTCACCATTTTTAAATGGACAACAATTTAATTTATTTTAATTCGTACATGAAAACTCGTAAATATATTTTTTTTATACTTAGATTTTATACAACAAAATAAATTAAGTCTGTAATATTCTAATTTGTTTTATTCAACTTAGTAATTTCATAATTGAAATATATGACTGTAAATACAATTAATTATAATTATAAATGTTTAAGATTTACGGGATAGAGGGATGTCTGAATATTATGAAATAATAATAAAAGTGCACCTTAGGAAGTAATTTTTTTCTAAGAATTGTCATAATTCATTGAAAATTTTGATTTATAATGGGGGGTCAAGGGAAACTTGCATTCAAGAACATAAACACATTATAAGTATATACATATATTTATAATTGACATATTATGTACATAAATATGTAGTATTAATGTATCGGATCTGCACCATTTTTATTGAAATAAATTAACAACAATGTTAGTTTATGTACTTAAATAAGAAAACTGCCTTTTAGCAATTTTTTATGTTTTATTTACTTCTATATATTTTTTTTTAAATGGTACAAACAATTATTTACATTCCGTTAAATTGAAACTATATATTTTTTTTTTTACTGTAGATTTTGGGGAAAATCACTAATGATAATAATTGTAACTGTATGATTTTTTTTAGTAACAATATGTAACATTTTTACTTTTAATGTAAAATCTTATAGTTTTTGGTATTTTTTTGTTTTAAAAAAACGGTACATTATTAATATATTAAATATTATTTATAACGCAGCATGATTATTTTGTGTGTATGTATGCATATATATGCATATATTCCAGTAAGTTTGTCTTAACATAAATAAACTATGTAATACATAAACATAATTTGCCTTTATGATTGGTAATTTTAATATTACCTAGATGTGTGAACCTAATTGAAGTGTAATCGATTGGTTTTATTATAACAGAATACAGCTGATCTAGAAAATATTGTTTTTTGATATAAAACACTAAGTAGTTAATATCAATAATGTCTTTCTACGGTAAGTTGATATTGAATTATGACAATAATATAATAATAAATGCAATGTTTTCTGAAAAAAATGTGATGATTTATCATTTCAATTTAACTAATTCATTACTGCAGTGACTACTCCACTTGATACAGTATAGTGGTATAGTACAGCGATTACTTACTTGCTAATTTTTTTACTTTTTCCGTTGTGGATTTTAATTTATTATTTACTGCATATTACGTTGTTGTAATCTGACTGTCAAAGATCCGGATGATTGTAGATTTCCGATAAATATTTCAGACGATTTTTGAACGGTTACTATAATAATGGTTAATTGTAATTTGAAAGCTAAAACTATAAAATACATAAGCTACGTCGATGAGAGCGGTGCTCAGGACTCAACGGCTGTGGTACACATCTGATTCTGTTGTTAACCCGAGCTTTCTCATAAATGATTCCTGATGTATTTTCTTCGACGGGATCAGTGTTTCGCAAGCGTCTTTCGGGTTTAGTAGTCGAAGGTGAAGAATGACTGCCCATGGCTGCGATTTATAGCGCGCGAGTTGCATCGGCAAGTGGCTTTAATTGTTCGTCTTCAAATCCTTCGATTAGTAGGTACTTGCATAAGGTTACTCTTATTAATTATACGCATGTTGTTCGTCGTATCCATTTGTTATGATCAGTGTACGAATCCGGGAATTCGTAGGTCGTAACAATGTCATACAAATACGATATGGTGGATATGAATGATTTCTATAATTTCGTTGATTATCTGGAAATGATTGATAGCCATCATGATGTGTGTGGTAGGCACTAGGCGGTAACGTTACAAATTACCAATGTGTATTCACTATTAACAAATGTGGTGGTCAATACTGAATTGCTGGTTGATAAAATAATAATAATTAAATATATTTTATAATAGTGCGAAATAGACAGTAGGTAGTGTTATAATTATTGTCCCACTCTATAGGGAGATATTGTATACACTGTTGTCTATATAGTGTTACTGGAAAATTGGCATTAGGCATCTACATATATTATATACCTACCAATTACCATATTCACTTAATTAGAACATGGCAGATTACTGGAAATTGTAATTATATAATAATATTAACTATTATAATTTATAACTTTATAAGTAATAACACCTTTTAACTAATGCGATGCGAATGCGATTAAAGCACATTCACACGTCACATTTCATACGTTTGCTCTACACCGAAAGTAGTCGGAAGAAATTGCCCTGATTCGGCGCAAAGTGGGAATTTACCTCTGTCTGATTTTAAAGCAACCCAATGGTTGGATCGGCTGTTGGCCAAAAATAACTATTTTTACAACATTGAGGAAATTTCATATTGAGTAGAGGTGCTTTACACTATTCAGAATAAGAACAGACCCGGCGGCTATAGGAAATAATCAATCTGCAGAGGTGTAATTTGGACTTTGGAGTAAACCCATGGGATAGCAAGGAACTTTGTACACTATTTTCAAATTTATCAGTAGTATAAAAAACGTCTGACGGTAAGTACTTATTTAATAAGCTATTGCATCGGTAGGTGGCTTAGGAGAACGGTCACTGACGGGTCTCTGTTGCTTCCAGCATTACTTGCGCCGGATGGGCCACCAGCGCGTGCCGCCATCACTGTAACTGCTAGTGACGCCGAAACCGTCAACCACACCGGTCGAGTGCCAACATTGCAGGATTGGTCTGAGGAAGGATCTTGCAGGCTCGCTCTTAGGGCCTCCTTGGCCTCGATGGACATGTCGACCATTCTCTTTGCGGCCCAGCCTCGAAGATCTATCGCCGAAGCACCAAGTGAGAGTGAGTTGCTCAATGATGCGAAGGAGACGTTTAGGATCTCTCACAAGATGATGGAAGGGATCCTGACTCTCAAAGAAGAGGGGGCACGCGAAGTGGCAACCCGGAAAGTGAAGTCCGGGGCGGCGGACTGCGGTCGGCCCGCCAAATCCACAGGCACGAGAAATCAAGGGCGGCGGACTGCGGTCGGTCCGCGAGGTCTTCATCGTCAACGATCCAGTGATACAAACCTGTAGTAACCGTTTTTGTTATATTCGGTACCTACCTACCTATCTTGTCGGTCGTATTAATTTTTTTTTGGATAAACGATAGCGGCGCTATTGACGTAATGCGAAAGTTGCAGTTTCGACAGCGTCGTCCATAACACAAAGTAAAGGTAGGTATCTATTTTATGTTTTTAATTTTTTAGTACCATTTAAGCTGTCTTGTTTATTGTAAGTATTGTAATTTAGTTTGTTCGACCTCTCTAAAATGATGCCTCCGTGACTCACGTAGGTATTATATTTTTCCAAAATAAGTGAACCGAGTTTTTCAGGCGTTCAGCTATTTTTTTTCAATGAGAATAGGTACTTTTACATATTATTAAATTACCTTTGTAAGATACTAAGATAGTAAGATGGGAATGATTGTACTATGACATAAAAGTTTTTTTTGGTTACCTACGTGGCATATAATGGGCTGATCAAGACTTTTGCCCCTTTTTATTATTTTGAAAACTGAAAAAAAAAAGCCAAGACCTACACCAAAGAAGACTAAGACCAAGAATTATAAACTTATAAGTCAATCTTACATTAATTTAATGCTGACGTGCCCTGAACGTACGACCGTAGAACGGTGTGAATAAGTTTGTGCAATTTTTAGTATAAAATGAATCAAAATGTCATCGTTCAGTCATGTAGCCCGTGTAGGTATAATTATTGGTAAATACAGTTTTATGAATTTTTGACAACAATATAATTTGAAATTTTTCGTGATTCGTCAAAATTATCGGCATACATTTTGATAAATTTAGTCAAGATTTGAACTATTAAATTCTAACAGTTATAAAAAAATGTTGAACAGTTTTATTTTAAATATATTATAACGATTTATTGAATATATTACAATCCATATACTTATACAGTAGTATATATTGATAATACTAAAAAAGATCACCTATTTGAGAATGAAGTTTCACATTGAGACTTGAGAGGCAGATAGGTTGAAAATATTGGGGGGAGCTATTTTGAAATGAACCTAAATTGTAGAGAGCAATGCCCCTTCTCAATAACTGTTTGACTTTGAAGGGGGCTTGGGCGCTTGGCAGACTTTTGGGAAGCTTAGGCCCGCAACCGATTTCCAACTATCGATTACACTCTTAATTAAATTAAAACATTTATTTATATGTATACTTAGTAATTAGTATTCTTCTTCCAGTCCTTCCAGTGTCCTAGTCCGATGTAGACGTCTGTTCGGGTTGTCACTTGTCAGCAAATGTTTTGAAATGATTGAGATTTGAGAGAGTTTGGCGAAAGTTGAGTTTTTAATTGAATATCAAGCAGTAAATTTGGGTAGTGTTGTGTCTATTGTATTTGTAGTTAAGTTGAAATGTAGAGTTTTGTTGGAGACAAATCGTGGACTGTAGAGCTTTGATTGAGTATTTGAGTCAGTTTTCAGCCAAATAGTTTAAAAGTTAAACGCTCTATGAAATCGTGGCATATTTAAAGTTAAGCGTGGCTACACTGGTGCTCAAACGAGATACTTGATTGTAGTATCTACGTCTACGTGAAGCATTTATACTATTAACACAATCAAAATTCATAATTTCAAACATATTTTTCAAGCTAATTTTCAAAGCATTCGTCATTCAATATTCGAAAAAATAAAAATGTATACTGTTTAGTGAAAATTATTAATTTTATTTCTGTAGTCTATTTTTCATCCTTCATAATATTGTGTAAAGTTTCATTGTAGTACGAATAAAAACGTTTATAATGTGCAATGTAGCGGGCTTTTCTTTGTAAATTGAAATACGAAATTTGACATTTTATCTCCAATTTAGTTTCAGCATTTTATTTTGGTACTTAAGTAACATATTATTTTTTTCTGTGTACTGATTAATTTCAACTCGATAAATATGTTCCGTGAACATTTTATTTTATTTTTGATGTTTATTTACTGTGGCTTACTAACTGATCTGATTAAGAGTCAAACATTAGAGGTGGTTACTGACAACGAGCTCTTAGATTTATGCCGTTCTGAAAACCAAGTAGTTGCTTTATTTAGTATGTATTTAATTACTACCTTTTAATTGATTTTCTAGTTGTGATTATTGATTTTTTGATGTATTTATACTGTAGCTTTAAAAGACTGTGACAAGTGTAAAAAGTATGAAGAAACTCTCACTCAAATTAGAGAAGAACTTGTTGATTCATTAAATGCTTGGGTTGTGAAAGTGGAAGGTAGCAATTTAGTACACATTTATAATCCTACTAAAGAACCAACGTTGGTTATGTTTCGACATGGTGTACCATTACTAATACCTGAGCCAGGTAGCTATAAACAATTTTAATTTAATGTCTTATAAAGTTAAGAATTATATTAATTTTTTTTCATATTCCAGATGCTGTTAATGATGAATTTTTGATAGACATGTTATTGAACAACAGAGATCCTATTGTTAAAGAACTTAATGATAATAGTTTTGAACATCTTACTCAGGCATCAACAGGAGCTACAACAGGGGATTGGTTTATTAAATTGCAAGTATGATTAGTTGTAGGGCCGGTGCTAAATGATATTTATACATAGGCAAAATCCAAATTTTTCACCCTTTCGTTTTGTAACCCCTTACCTACCTCATATGCTCTAGCGGCTAGAGTCTAGCCCATACATTATTTTATATAATGTACCACTGTACATTATTTTTGTTGGGAGATAATAGCTGGCATTTTTAAAAAAAATTGAACATGCAATCTTTTTGTTTAATTATTTTTAATCCAGGTGATATAAGTTTTTCTCGTACTTAGCTCCTGATGATAGGGGTTTGTTAGTGCTGTTCAACATCATATATAATATGAAATTTTAATTTCAATTTTTTCTCAAAGCCAGTAAAGAATAATCCACTTATTTAGTAGTTTTTTTGTCATAATTCTAAAAATTAATATAAATACAAATAAAGAAGATTATTACATAATATAATATAATATAATTCATATTTAAAACCTTTTGTTTGTAAATGAAAAATGATTTTTTATAGAATTTGTTTTCTAACTTTCTTACTTAGATATTAGGTTTAATTAAAGTATATTGTAATCACAAACATAATACATACTATAACACCAAGAATATGCTACCCTATTTGACAGTGTCCCACACCGGCCCTGATAAGTGAACCAACCAAATTAGGTCAGACCATTTGATTTTTTAATACATTGACTGGTATGGGACTGCTTGCGTACTTAAAAATACTCTTTACCCTAATACTGTATGAAGGTCCTGATATCTTACCTATTGACTCACCCAATTTCATGTCTGACTTTTATTTTGTTTTTTAGTTATTCATCAGATAGTATAGAATGTCAACGATTACAAGCTCGCTGGGAAACAGTTGGTGCTAAACTGAAAAATCGTGTTAATGTTGCTCGTGTCAACAGGTACATTGGGGGATCAATAACTGCTCGTCGATTTGCTATAAGCCAATCACCTACATTTATTTTGTATGTTAAAAAGTTTTATTTGTTTAAGTAAATTTCACTCATTCAAATAATGGGATGGTTGATCTTTTATTTTATCATTAGATTGCGCCGTGGTGTCATGTATACTTACACGTCAACTGATTATACTATTGAATCATTCCTCAAATTTGTTGAAGAAGATTATAAATTCACAGCTAAAGGGCAAGTGCCTCAACCAAAATCAACATTGTACGTTCATTATCAATATTTATTATAATTCACTCTACATTTAAACATTTTAAATGCATAAAATATAATACTTATTTTCAGTGATGATTTTGTACACATGTGCTTTGATGTGCTCAGGGAAAACCCATTGGCGTGGAAATTAGGCTTGACCGTTTTGAGTGTAGTATTGCTGTGTCTTGCTGCTTTGAAGAAAACATCCAAACCAAGCGAATATAAGTCAAAAAAAAAGTCTACTAAAAGTTCCAGTAAAAAAAGCAAGTAATGTATGTATTATATACACATATATTTGCATTATATGCGATATACATTTTAAATTTAACTTACATATTTTCATTAAATCCTTTATAAATTAAATTCATGTACAGTTAATTTTTTTCATGTCTGTGTTATTATTTGAATTTTTTGTGTTTGAAATATAAATATATAAAATTTTAAAATTTATTTTTTATTTTACCATGTTATATTGTTATGTATAATGTTTGTTTTATAATATATAATCCTGCTTTATCATTGTACATCATGTCCTGTGGTCCTGTTTTTTTTGTTTTATACAAGGAGATTAACCATGTCTTGTAATTAAATATTGGTGTATTATTTTTTAATTACATTTTATGATGTAGGCTCCGGCTATTAAAACATTCAGTGGCAAAACAGACCTAAAATTGACCCACCAACAATTTGTAATAAACACAAGTACTGTTCTTACCTATTTTATGATTATTAAGGGCCTAACCACCAAACCCTAAGTATTAAAAAAATAGAGAAGCAACTGCTTCTTAAAGACCACGTTTGTTTCGCTGCTGAATACATTCATGAAAACGGAAATAAAATTAATGAATTTAAAAAAACTGTAAACTGGTATAGTCGATTGGTACATAATTTGTATAAAGCATTTATACACTTTTCCCATATGTTTAGTTATTAAACAAAGGATATTCCCAAAGTTTAAAAAAGTACAAGAGGAAAGTATCCTAAATAAATTTATCAATTCAAAGAAAATTTGTGAAGTAATATACATTTTATCATCTCAATTTTAAACTAATAAATAATATTGTAAGGGTATCAAACTGAAGCCCCGTATACTAGGCACCCTTAAATTTTAAAGTATTAAGTCTTCATAATATTATAGTAATAAAGTAATAGTGTTTTACACGTAATAATTATTTGTAGTATTTCCTAAACAAAAGAATTCTGTGCTTCCAATTTTTTTGCGTAACACTTTAATTTATTGGAAATATAACAAATTTCCATATTTTGCAGTATGTACCTAGGTACAAATTGAAGTTGAAAATTATTTACTATTGATTCATCATTTGGCAGTGGCGTAGCCAATGGGGGGGCTGATCAATTTTTTACACAGCGGTGGTTTAGTTTTTGATCGAATACCATAGACCATTAAAATAATTTTTGAATTTTATTAACATTTGGGGGGGGGGCTGCAGCCCCCTCAGCATCCCCCTGGCTACGCCACTGTCATTTGGGCTTAAAAAACAAGTCCCTAGGTAACTTATTGTATTTAAAAGTTATCTAAACACTTGTCGTTTTCAAAGCTTAAGACTGAAGAGTGAAGAGTAATAGAGGTATATATGTCTAGTTTGTATAAAAAAAAATATATTTTCTTAAAAGTGCATTTCAATTAATATTGGTTTATAAAGATAATTGATAACCTACCTAAATGTCACGTTTGTTAGACTTCTTGGATTCGTGTGATCTGGGCGAAAATAGGCTATTTATGTGCGACTTTACTAGAAGGCGAAATGTTTATAATTATATTGAATATGAAGTATAAACATAAGTAATGGAAAGCTATTAAGTCACAGGCTCCTCCCGTTCACGCGTTACAGCAGAGGATGCTTACCAAACCACTTGCCGTTATTACGGTGACTGTCAACATTTCGTCGTAACTCGTAACTATTCCCTTTCACTGATCCCAGTTGTTTTGTATACTGTGTTAGGAGTGTGTTTGTTTTAGCTTATGAGCTACAGAAAAAGATCAAACAATTCGACTAGTGGTTGATTATTGGTCAAATATACGCTCTTCTGAAATATTAAGTCATTCATATTATATGGTTCTCACAACATTTTCGTTAAAAAGTCCAAGACCAACAAAATTAGGGTAAGTGAAAATTAAATAAGTTATTTTTATTTATTGTTATTGTATACTATTCCAAAACTATTTTATGAAATAAACTAGTGTTGAAAAGCTTTTTGATTTAACTTTATCATTTTTCACGAGGGTTGTTCATTAGCTATATATTTTATTAAATAAGATACTAAAAAAAAATAATACCTAGGACCTAGGAAAAGCTTTGGCCGTTTTGAAAAAAAAACATAATTATTACCCAAACCATTTAGGTAGTTCTATTCGTGTATATAGCAGTACAGGATATTAGACAAAATGTATTTCATAATACCAATATTCTCTGCTATAGTATCAATGATAATTTTAATAGTCAAATAATAAATATACTTTCATACAATATTGCATAAATAAATATCTAGAAATAACAATTTCATTACTAAAAAATGTGTTCACAAGTATGGATTATTAGAGAATTTGTATTCAAATATCTTCTGACTTCTAATAACGGTTTGTATTTATTTGTAAATGAAATATATTTATATTTACTGATAATTGTTTAATAGATAGGTAGGGAAAATAATTAATTTAGGTAGATGGTATCATTTGAATAAATATTTTTTACTCTTAAAATATTATTTCGTTATTTTATACGTAAAAGCGATATTATAGTAAGAGGTTTTGAGTTTAAACGTTTTTTAAAAAATATTTCATGTGTTGAAACTTACAATATAATATAGATAGGTATATAGCCGATAAAATATCTAATATATATAGAGTCTAGACCGGGGGGGGGGGGGGGCGTCAAAAGTGGCGTGTTGGCCAAATTTTCACAGCTCTCAAAAATATTTCTACTTAATTGTTTAATCACAAAATTATCTAATAGGTATTTCTAAAAAATAAAGTAATAAATTCTAATAGTTGGAAACTCACTGCTTCCAGACATAATATTTTGTACTTTGAAAAAAAGTGGCTCATTTCAAATAAACTCAATTTATTTTGAGCCAATTATGCATGCAGACAGGTACCTAATAATATGTGATATTGTTTTCCACAGCCAAAGTATAATATAGGTAGGTAGATACACCGTATACTATCAACCCTATATCCCTGCATATACCTGTATGATACACGTGTGACGTGACTGTATGAAATGGGTCTAATAGATGGATTGTACTGCAAGGATTGTTCTCCTACGGGCTACGACCTACCTACCCTTTATAGAAAATGTAGGTAACTGTAGTTATAGGGCTGTTCTATAATTTAGTTGAATAGGTACTTGAATCTTATAACTTTTTAGTTTAAAGTTCTAAATACCTAATCAATTTTGTTCTATACGCATTATGCTGAACAATTACTATATTGCGTATTCATTTTGTATGTTTCATATTGTAGTTCTTAAGTCTTTAGTGTAAACAAATAGCAGAATATGTCATAATATACTTTACACGACCATCGGGCATGGACAAAAACAAACCTAATAAAGATTTTAGATTGGACACTACACTATTAGATAATTTTCTTAATATAAACGATTTATGAGAATGAATGCATTTTCTTTGATATAGGTATTGGTATAATGGTATATGTATACGAACAATATCAAGCCCTAGAATATTAAGAGACCCAGTAGCACAAAATTAGTAGGTATCTATGTTTTTGTTTCGTTTGTTTATATATGTATACAAGATTTGCATAATGTCTAACCCATTATATAATAATTTGATTTAAAAAATATAATTATTATACTAGAAGGTTCCTAGGTATAAGATTATTATGTTATGATAAATTGGTAAATGCTAGTTGTTTGTACTCATTAGAAATTACTTTTTTTTTAATAATTGGTATTGAAAATAAAAAAAAAACTGACAATGGACAATCGATTTATTGTTATATTGTAATATTCTAATACCGTAATATCACTGTAGGCGGTTTAATTTTGTGAAGGTTATAGTATTTTTAGTTTATCTCCTCAGTTACACATTACAGATCACCATCACCCAACTGGGAGTTCTTTAAAGGGGGCCTTATAATTTATTTTCTTCCAACTATAGGTACAGATAAATGGTAATAATATGTTCTTATATAACAATTCATCAATAATTCATCAAATATTTATCGTAGATTATATTTACTTAGGTAGGTACGAAAAATTAATTTACTAAAATTACTTTATTAAATTAAATAAATGATTATAGTAACTTGAATATATTATATGTTTATTGTATAAACATATTTATTACAACTTTAACTGCGTAAGATTATTTGTATGCATTTAATAGTTAGTTTAGGTAAATGTTAATAAACTATGGTCGTATGGTTTATGCGTGGGTGATCGAAGATATATGATGATCGACCGGTGAGAGGCAGAAGAGAATGATTTCTTAGATTTTTCTAAATTAACGACTATTTTCTCGAGGATGAGGAACGAAAAGGCCCTATTCTTATTTATATATATATATAATGTATACATATTTTGTTTGTTCACAGTAATGTGGGATAAAATTAAATGAATATCTGTATACGGGTGTCAATCGAATATAAAATGCCCCTGTCCGAAGTGAGAAGATGTGTAACCATCAAATTTACATTATTATTGATGTTAGCTGCTGTTGCTTTAGCTCAATCGCCAGATAGTAACTCAATAGTTGGCCCAAATAAAGCTAATGGAGGTGCTGTTGCAAAGTTCCGTAAGTATAAAGTATATTCAATTCTAAAGAATCAATTTGTGTATAATAACATGTACTAAGTGTGCTTGTTTTTATATTATATGCTTCTCCACTTTTTGAAATATAGGTTGCAGTTACATGTATACATGTAACTATAATTAGTACTGTTAGTAGTTATATATATAAATAACTTGATAAATCCATGCATATATAAAATTATATATGTTTATTATACACATTATATCTATGTATGTCATATGGATTGCAGGTCAAGTTTCGAGAAGATTTTTTTCATTTTCAGGAAAACTGGGTGTAAAGTATAAATCTTACTTATGGGAAATTGATTTAAATTGTGATTAGGTATTGTTTTAGACCTACCTACATTATGCAGATGTTATCTTTATGTTTTATGAATTATACATAGGTGCCTACAATTTAAAACATATTGTATTATTAATAATTTACAAACTATATAAGCAAAGTATTTTTTTAAATAGTATCTAACTACCAAAGTATTCTTTTTATTTTGTAAATAAAAAAAGTTTAGTTGAAAGATTGACGGAACTCACTAGATTCAACTTGACGACTCGCTAATCAAGATTAGCTAAGACGATATTCTTAGCTAATCAAGATTAGCTAAGACGATATTCTTAATAATAATTAATATCCAAAAAAAGATTATCTAGAGATGGAAATGGAACAAATGATTTTAAAATTAGTTATTTTTGTATTGCTTAACAGGTATTTAGAACAAATCATACTTTGAATTTATAGAATTTCCCCATAATAATTGTGTCATTGATTTCATGTTTAAAGATTTCCACCTTATATGCGTCTTACCCAGTAGCAGGTTAGTTGAGTACCCTACTTAATATTACACTTTCATGATTATTAATTATACAATATGTATAACAATTTTTAGATGATAATTTGAATTAATTAAAATCAAAACCTGTAAGGATCAAAAATGAATATTTATTATAAAGGTTTATGACCGATATAATTACATATATAATTATACCTACTTTGGTTAAAAAAACCGGTAAACTTTCACTAAACGTTCTCTGATTTGTTAATCTGGAAACCAGGCAGACCAGTACCAGTGTATCACATTTAATGTATTTTGAGTTGTTATGTCATCATTTGCATTTGTAAAAATTAATTCATAGTTCATACGATATAATGTAATATATAATTGGCCCGATGCAACAAAACCGCAGGTAGAATGTCAGTTGTTACAGAATCTTATACATTCTACACTATTTACAGCAACGGTGTGCAACAGAGCACATTTCCCTTATCTCTTTGCTTCATATACAAAAACTACTCTAAAACAAAATAAATACAAATAATTGCATACGCGTAATTATCTTTATTATTATATTCTCGACTATATATACGTATGAAAAATTATAGTTATTTAAAATATTAAAATTTACTTGAATTATTAAAATAATTACATAAAATCGCGAATCGTTGAGTAGATAATTGCATAAGAATGTGTTAAATTTGAATTTTATGATAACGGTTCTAAGCGAGCTGAAAAATATTCTTATGATTTACTATATTTTTTATTTTTATTACTATTTCAGATTTCTTTATTCTGTAATTTAAATTAATTTTTTCCAAAACAACTTGCATGTCTTTAACTTGCGAGTTAAATGTAAGGCAATACTAGCGTATGAATGGTGTATTAGAATATATTATGGAATGGGTTCATGGCATAAATATATGTTAATATAATATAGTAACGTAGCTTAAATTTACCTAGTCTTAAAAAAGCCTATTTATTTTTAAAGTTATTGAATTGCTATTATAGGAACTTATTTGAACAACCTTGATTACATTTTCAAATTTTTTTACTAAACACACAAAATATTGTCATCAATATAAATCTAAAAATATTAAATAATGTACGTATAATATTATCTATATTGTTGAGAAAATTCTATTGTGTCAAAAACTGGAGTTGCGAAATATTTCGGTTTTCCACTATTTTTTGTTAGATTTTGGATTTCCCAATTATTAAGAAAAGTATTCTGAGGATTCCCTAATTTTTACCAATAGCTAAAAGTACATCCTCGATCAAAAATACGACCAGACACCATCACACTCTCAATATTGAAGATTGCATTACATATTATTCTTATTTAATGGTCAAAAAACAAGGTAGATAAAAAAAAACACGCAGGTACCCAACTTTAAAAAACCAATATTTTCATCAATTTGTCGCCGTTACAATTACAATATTCGAACATGTGGGTTAGAAGCTTAGCAATTAGTATAAATATCTGTGTCATGATTAAGGCTCGGAAGTTATAGATTTGTGTATGTTTTCTGTGTACTCTATGCATACGTACATCTTACACACAACTTAAAATATGAATTTTTTTTGTTGCATATTTTTATAACAATTATGGGTTTTCTTAAGGTATAAGCGTAAAAGGTAAAGATGACCAAATAAATAATAGTCTTTGACTGTCGAGATTGTAAAATTATGCTTGGCCGCTTGGGTAACTTAAGTCGCTGACCTTCGGGCTTCGGCTACATATAATCAATAATAATCATTGTCCGTTGATTATGCATTATGCATTTCTATTTGTACAGTTATCAATTTTATTTTTTTATGTTCATGTTTTTAACTTCTATGTAGTGTATTTATAACTGTACATATATGGTTGAATTGTGTATGTACAAATATATTTTCCACTGTGACACAGACACTGTCGGCTGTATGCCGATAGTCTTATGAAAAATCTTCGAGCATTAAATTGATTTTAGTTTATAATAAGTAACAATACAAATCGGCCTTTTATACTATACCTGTTATTCCTCTTACCAATTCATCCATAAATTCTTAGAAAAGATGTAAATATTTTAAAGAAATATTACAAACCAAAATATGTGTAATTTTTTCTAATATTTTGATAGTAATTGTTCATATATGCTACAAATTGTAGCATATTATATGTAGCTATAAATTAAAAAATAATATGAACAAAACAGCAGGTATCTATGTTAAATAGTAAAACTTCTATATTAAAAATATTAACATTAAAATAGGATAGACAATAGATCAAATAAAATAAAATTTGAAGACATTTAAAATTAAATGTATATTAGAAGTAATTTTCATTGACATTTTAAATTAAATTGAGAATTAACAACTCATAAGAATATAAGAAACAAAAAACGGTGAGCATATTTACTTGCTTGTTTGCTAACGTTTAGAGAATAGGTAAACAGCTAATAAAAACATTGGGTTATTATTAAATTTCAAATTTATAAAATACGAATTACGATTTTTGTTTTAATTATTTATTAGTTTGTATTACTAAATACTAGGTACCTACCTATACACAGTACACACTCGTCAGTCGTCATTCGTACAATATTCTTAGCACCGTAATTATGTTATTTATAATAGTATTACAGACTTTCAAAGTTCAGATACTATTTAATTAAAATCGATTAATAGAGATAGTAAATAATTAATAATTAAACAAATAAAAATGTTTTCTTAACTTTTATGATTTTAGAATTAGCCACCTGCCAGCTGAGGTTCTAAAATTAAACTAAGGTCCCCCTCCTCAAGTCACAAATCACCATGTTCAGGAAAAATTTCGGGGATCGTGAGATCTAGCCTCTAGGCCAGTGGCTCCCAAACTTTTACCACCACGGCACCTTTAAAAATTGTTAGTGTTTCGCGGAACCCTATAATGTCTAATCCAACTCAACTACAATTTTTCTAAATAAAAAAAGGAAAACCAATTCTCTAAACTCTCAAGTCTTGATAATATTTTAACGATACTGACTTTTCAGTTTTCATTATTAAACTTAGTTTAAAAAAAAATGTTCAACTAAAAATTTTTTTTTTAAATAACTTACATTAAATAAACATAATTTTCTCAATAATCACATACATCTGGCGGAACCCTTGTTGTCTACCTTATGGTTCCGCCGAACACACTTTGGGAAACGCTGCTCTAGGCATTAAAAATGCATAGTAGGTACCTATACTTTGGTTTATTTTGTCATTTTTATATGATATTATAGTATGGTTTTAAGAATATGTATAGTATGGATGAACCCATGTCCTGATATTTGATAACTTGAAGCACATATAATATAATCGACTAGTCCCTGGCGGAGATGCTTGATGTACGCATGCGCGGAGAGAAAAGTCGTATAATATTTATTTATATGAATTGAGATTTGATGTATATAAGTATAAACTAACAGCTAAATATGCGACAGTTCGCCTCACGCATTCTCAGACCAAGCATATCTGACAGAGACTTGACTCGTCACATGTTCTTCAAATTGTGTACACGGGCGAGATGGGTACGGCTCCATATAATATTATCTAGTTTATATGATCTAAGAGTTTTAATATATCGAGGCTTTATATAAAGTTTCAGTTCCTGTACTGCGATACAAATTCGTATTTAAATTAAACCCATGTAGAAATAATCTTTTAATTTTTCTAAAATTTTGGAGAGGAGCTACACCCCTCTTGGCTACGCTACTGCTTTCCAAATAGTACTTTTAAGTATGATGCATCTTATAATTTTTTATTTGAACAAATATATATGGCTTGATTAAATAAACTAATTAAATTGTGTGTTTCCTTTACAAACAGGTAAATATTTTTCTCAGTGCAAAACACATACAGTTGAATTTGACGAATGTATAAAGAATGCAATCAATAATGTCAGACCATATTTTACAACAGGTACCTATATTGTTTATTATACCTAATTTAATATTTTATATAATTGACCCAAAATTTGATATGTATCAATGTGCAGTGTTGGGTATAGTATAACAACGAGGTGTGTATTGCGTAACAAATATACACTGTAAGTACCTTTATATTATCCTACTTGTTGTACCGTAACAACATTACTTTTATAAGTTACGCGTCGGTAGGTAATTTAGTTCTAAGAAGTAAGAACTAATTTTTTTAACAGCAATGCTCCATCATCATTTTATGACTTATTCTATCACAAAATATGATACTGTAGGTAGGCGACAGCCAAGAATTAAGAACTTAATTGGTACCCAGCTATATAGGTTGATGTGGCGTACACGGAAACTTTCAATGTGTGGGTTATATTGAAAAAATATACACTATATGTCTATATGCAATATGCATATAATATATGCTTTATATGAAAAACTCACATTTTTATACAGCAAAAATCGAAGGATTGGGCCAGGATGGTACCCTGAAAATACCTCCCCCCTCTACCTGTATAATAACTAGTGAGATGTGCAAACAAAAATCAAAAACATGTTTGAACAACTTGTACAGCTGATAGTAGATACCTACCCGGCTTTGAAACTACATTAGGATTTGTATTATACATAACTACTTACATTATTATTCATCATTATTCATTATCTATACAGCTATACGGCTTTACCAACAGTTAAAAAAAAATTTATGTTATAAAATAATTTACAGTAAAAAAGGGGGGGGGGTTCTCATTTGTCAGAAACTTGTACTGACGAGTGCAGAAGATCAGTCCTTAAAAAATGTAAGTATTCGATAATAATAAAATAATATCGTTTTAATGTTCTTAAAAGTTCCAAAAATCAGAATTAGAAAAGAATCATTACAAAAAAATGCTGTAGATAGGTAGGTACTATTATACTATAATACATGGCTATATATATATATATATATATATATCATATACATATTGATATTGTAGACGTACAGTATAATATTATAACTGTCAGTGGTGCATTTATGGGAGGGGATTTAGGTGAGTATCCTGGGTGCCAAATTTTAGGGGTGGGAAAAATTAAATAGGTATATTACTATACCTACCTATCTCTATGTATAAAATGACTTGTCCTTTCTGATTCATCATCGTCTAGCCGGAACCGCTGAGGCTATGAGTATGAAATTTGGATAGTAGTTTTGTTTTATAGTGTGGGCACCCACTAAGAAAGGATTTTTCGAAATTCGACCCCTACGGATGTTAAAAGGGATAAAAATGAAAAAAATTATATTTTTATATCCACCTTGGTCAGCGCGTTTGTAATAATTATTTAAGTAGGTATTGTTAAAACTGTATCATAAATATATTACAGATATATTATTTATTATACCTATTTGTTAAAGTTAATAATAATAAGTAAAACATTTTTTTGAACAAAAAATTCAGACAGTGAGTTATAATTTTGTAAGCATATTTTATTTTAACATTTCTCCGATTAGAATTGTATCTTACAATTTGTCTTTGGAATAGTAAAATATACTGATTTTTGCCAATTTCTGGTTTTAAGAATACACGGAAAACCTAGGGTCAATACATCTTACGCTATGTCGCTATAACTACCTACTTTTCATCAATAAAACATATAAAACCTTATATGACTATAAAATATACTTATGCAATTTTATTCAAATGTAAATTTGTTAATTTTTGTATTGTAGGTAACTTTTTTACCTTTAAAAAGTACGTTTTTTACCTAACACTATACTTACACCCTACTCGTGTAGTAACAGGGGACAATTAATACGAGTTTATGATACCCACACGATACGTCGATACATTGCAGATTTAGTTATTAAATTTGATTTGATTTGATTTTCAAAATCATACCGAAATGAATGAAAACGAATTTCATTTATGGTTAACCTTTACTCCACAACAACTCCCAACACTGCTACTATTATTATATTATATGTATTAGGTAGGTGTAGATTGGTACACTCAAGAATCACATACATATTAAATAGATATACCTACCTATTATATAAATAAATTCGGTACCCATAGGTGTACCAGAACTTGGAATTCCTCCATTTGATCCGTTTTTCGCCAGTGAAGTCAAACAAAGTAGAGGAGCTGGTGCATTTGGTTACAAGTTAACTCTATATAACGTTACTGAAACCGGATGGAGACTTTCGGAAATTAAAAAATTCAAGTAGCCCATTGTTATAGAGTAGAAATGTCTATAAGAATACATTTTTCTAAAATGCATATTTTTTTAGAACTAACTTCAACACGAATACAATCAAACTTACACATTATTTCCCTGAGAAGTATTTAGAAGGTTACTACGAGGCAGAGAACACGATACTGCGACCTGGAGTTAGGACAATTGGCCAATTCAATATGACTTTATGTAAGAATTTTTATGATCAATTGTTAATAGACAACTGTGTTTCGTCACAGATCCTTGATAAATTTGTTTTTTTTGTGTGCCTATATATTAGGTTGATAATAAGTAATAATTAATAAACCTATATAATGTTTTGTCTCGTAAATAATTTGTTTAGACGATTATATCCAAACAATGACAATAAGCAAACCAAAAAATACAAATCAAATCAAAGTATCTGTGCAGCTCGAAGAAATTGGAAATATGTCTCTGCATATTAGCAATCTTTTGCGTGGAAGAGTTATCGTTGGTAAGTTTTTCTATGGGTACTTACAGACAAACAGTACAGACCTATCACATTGACAATACAAATTATTTTAAGTTTCAATACACCTAAAAATTAATTATATTTTACAAAAAATAAAACCATTTCAAAATAGTCAATTTCGTGATAAATTGTTAATTAATTTTGTACGTAGGTGTAACGCTAGTTATAGTATACTGGTTTACTTTAGGACTAACTACAATTTTAAACCATGAAAATAATTAGGTACCTACGGGGGGGTTTTTTTTGAAAATATTTATTTTGAATGTAAGCTTTGTACTTATTTAATAATTTGTTCCTCTAAAATTGTATAATTACAATACTTTATTTTTTTTACAGAAAACGTTTTGGACAGAGTTATAAATGCGTCATGGAGAGTTGGTTTGCCAGTTGTGAAACCACTTATAAACGACCTTGTTGCTTCAGCTTTTACAAAAATTTGGAACGACGTTTTTAATGATTTTGATTTTAGTTACTTACTGCCATAAATTATTTAAAGCCTACAGGTCCATATTTTATTTCGTCTTTATTATTTGGCCATTATGACAACACATAGTTATAAATCTTAATTGTAAAATTAATATAGTTTCTTTCATTTCATTATAATTTTTGTCATCAATCATTGTTACAATATTATCATTTTATTTATCATATACATCATATTACTGTTTAGTGTTTGTTAAATAATGTAATGTAATTATATGTTTATCAAAATATCAAATTATATACATTTTATTTAGTTTTAACTTTTAAGAGTGTAATATACATAAATAGCAGTATAGTTTATCTATCATAATACAAGGAATAAGAAAAGTATTAAAATATTTAAGTATGTTAAATATTTTTGCCTAATATTATATTTTCAATGTGACGTGCATTATGTACAGTATTAAAATGCTGGGAAATGGTAACCGATAAAGTATTATGTATAAATATTGAATAAACTCGTGCTATGAGTCAGTCAAATTTTGTATTTTGTTTTTATAATATACGTATACAAGAGGATCACCTACACATATTATGCTGTGCAATAAGTATAAGTGATTAAAATATTTGGAACACATTGTGAAGATGTAAGAGACGCTTTTTTCACACCTCGCAGTTTTTTTATTGTCTTGGGACGGAGAAGGAATTATTTTAAAAGGTCTCGATACCATTGTTATTAGAATCCTGTCAGAAACATTAGGCATCTTCTAAAAATATAGTGCTGATACTTATGGATTTGTGTGCAGTGTGAGTAGCTTGTGTAGTCATATATCCAGGTGGGGAGGGGTAGTTTTGGGTGTAAAAGCATCCCCCCTCCTAGGCTGTATAATCCAAAAATAGTTTGGACATGCGAACAGCCCCTCCAAGTTGTATTTAAATATTGAATTAAAATACCCCCGATAGCCTGGGTATTCGCCTATTTGTATACATATAAATAGTAGACTTGTCTCAATGAATACTATGACTATTTTTAATTTTTACAATCAGATTGCCTGCAGACCATAGACCCCTAGCTAAAACTTAATTAGACTAGGTACGAAAGGACTTAATAAACGTAGAAATATGTATTTCTATTTTCTAAAAGTAATTATTTTGAATGTTAAGTATGGGTACTTCTGTCGGATACAATTTATAGTTAGGACAATAGGAGTGTGTATAGTGTATTCATATAAACATGAATCTTTTTTTTTCACTGTCCCTTATTACATAGGCTACAAAGGCCATAAGTTACAATTAAATATAGGTACCTGTGCAGTGTGCATCATAATTATCATCTAAATTCGATTGAACAGGTCGGGTTTTCTTAAGAATTTGATCATGTTGTTGATGTCTACCGTGTGGGGACTTAAAGCCGCGTCTAAGTCGGTTGAGATATTGAGTTTTTTAACGTTTTCTTCATATTTATGGCATTTAGTTATGAATTCCCAACTGTTAAGTAGACGTCACAGCTTGCGCACTGAGGTGGTTTCTTAAGAGAAGACCAGGGTTCGGGACTTATAGCACTATAAAAAGCACTAAAATATGCGCATATATATGACCCGACAAACTTAAAAATATGAACTAAAAATGAAAAAAATTCATTAAAAAAAAGGATTTATTTCATATAAATATAAAAAAAATTGGAATTTATATATAATTATTAATCAATAAATTTAAAAAAATAAAATCTTTAAAAATTAGGTTTTGAATGTTCTGGAAAAAAAAATGTACACCGGTGCAGTTTATCGATCACTAGATAGATTATTTTCATTATTTGCCGAGCGATACGACTGTATGAATGTGGATAACTACTCATATCAGACGTTTTCCAATTAACCATCTCAGATAACTTGGTGGTTTTCGATTTATTGAATATTTACAAATCATGTTCATGTGTAGTATTTTTGTGACTGATGGCTTTAATTAATACATTTTGAACAATAATATCCATCAATCGTCAAAAATCGTTAAATACGCGCAGCACCTATATAACAAAAAAAGAAAATTTATTTTTTATTTTTTTATTAATTGTTTATGGCATCAACTGCGAGGTTATTAGCCTGCAGCGTTACATGTTTACATTTAAATTAATTGCTTACATACTATCTTAATTTCTACTAGTTACCTATACATTTACAAATTTATTTTAACTTAAGTACAAATATTTAAATCAGTTGATGCAGTTCTGTTGAGTTGACGAAATTGAAGAGTCTTTTGGTCGTCTCAGGAGTGGGTGCTAGCATCTCGTATAGTGTCTCAGGAAGTTTTGGCTCAATGCGCCTTTCAATGAACTTTCGACATTCTGTAAGTGTGTGTTTGACTGTGATGATTGTTCCGCACGTCGGGCATGATGGAGGGTCTTCTTTGGCCATGAGATACCCGTGAGTAATGCAAGTGTGGCCTATTCGTAAGCGGCCAAGAATTACCTCGTCCCTTCTAGACATTTCAAATGGTTTGGGCCATGGTAGTATAGAGTGTTTAATTTCTCTTAGCTTATTGTCATCACATTTTGCCCAGAGGTTTTGCCATTCATCCATGTACTTAAATTTGGTTGAGTTTAACAAGTCTCTGTCAGATATGAGGGGACATACTTCAAAAGCGGAGGTACCTGTTGTTTCTTTTGCTTTTCGATCAGCTTCTTCGTTACCTCTTATGCCGACGTGTCCCGGGATCCATGCAAGTGATATACTATTTTTACGCTCACATTGTTCATTGATTATACGGCAGATAACTGGTTGAGACGTATTTAAATTGCATATGCCGATTAAATTACTTAGAGAATCTGTCATTAATAGATATTTCTTATCGTTAGTATAATGAATGCTTTGAATCGCTGTGAGTATCGCTAGGGGTTCTACGGTACAAATACTACATAGCTCATTAGTTCTTAATTGAATGTTTATATAATTTGATATTATGGCTAGTCCAGATTTCTGACCAATTTTCGACGCGTCGGTGTATACCTGTATGTATTCCGGGTACGATTGCAGAAGTTCGTAATGAAGACCTTTGTAAATATTCTTATCAGTTGTGCTTTTGTTGTATAGTGATATGCTTAGGTCTATTATACTTTTATTAAAGCGCCAATGGGGTACGTTTAATACAGTGCCTTGAATTGTATTGTTAATCAAGGTTTCGTTTTTAATGATGAAATCTTGTTGTCTTTCATAAATTGATCTTAGATGCGGTGTATTAACATAGGCTAAGCCTGGTACCTTTTTTTAAAGATTTTGTTGTACACTGGATTCTCTTGGTGTTTGGCTATTTTTAGTATGCACTTGGTTTCAAGCTATTTTCTCGTTAAATAAAGAGGTGGTTCTCTAGCCATACACAGTATGCTTGGGACTGAACTGCTTTTAAATGCACCTAAAGATAAGCGAATGGCGAAATTCTGTATTGTATTTAGCATTTGCAAAGTTCTATGATTAGCCGCTCCGTAGACTATTGAACCATAATCAATTATAGATCTAATTAAGGATTTATATATTTTAATTAGGCTGTCTGCATCGGATCCCCATTCAGTGTGAGTTAATGTTTTTATAATTTTTATTGATTTGAGCGTACGTATACTTAACTGTTTGATTGTGTTAGCACCAGTTGAGTTTATTATCAAATGTTAACCCAAGAATTTTAACATTGTCGCAGTAGTCGAGTGTTGTCTTTTCAAATTGAATTATCGGTTTGGCAATTTTTCTTTGACGGGTGAATAGTATACATTTTGTCTTGTTCGGCGAAAAAGTGAAACCAGTTTCGAGGATCCATTTACTTAAGTTGTCAAGTGTAAGTTGAATTTGATTTTTTATAGAATTCGTGTTTATTCCCTTACAATATATAAGTGCATCATCAGCGAAAAGTTTAATCACCGTGGGTGGAGGAACTTGAGTTGCCATTTCATTAATTGAGATAAGGAATAATGTTACCCTAATAGTTGATCCTTGCACTACGCCATTCTGGTTTGAGAACGGTTCGGATAAAGTATTTTTAATTTTTGTTTGAATGTTCTATCGTAATTATGGTTTTTAATACATTTGAACATGTTTCCGTGAATGTCGTATTGTTGCATAATTGTTAACACCCTGTGTCTCCAAACAGTGTCGTAAGCTTTTTTTAGATCGAGGCTGACTAGTATTATATTTTGATTGTTGATTAATGCGTCACTGATATCAGTTTGTAAGGTTACTACTTACTAGTAAATCGTTAGTAGATCTATTTTTATGAAAGCCGTGTTGATGCGGTGACAGTAATTTATGTTTTTCAAGATACCATATGAGTCTATGATTGACCATCTTTTCTATTATTTTACTCATTTTCTTAAGTAATGATATGGGACGGTAACCTTCGGTGGTGTGCAGCTCTTGACCATTTTTCGGTATAGGCACGACTATTGCTTGTTTCCAGTTGTTAGGGAAGTTTCCTTGCACCCATAATTTATTGTATATTTTTAGTAAAATTTCTTTAGCTTTGATTGACAAATTTTGAATAAAAACGAACGGAATATCATCGGTTCGCAACTTTTGCTTTTCATTTGATTCAAACTGTTGTTCAATTCAGATAAGTTAAATATATCATTTAGCGTTATACAGTCGTTATTAATATTTTTGTTTAGATCGTATATTATTGGATTATTTTGTTCATATATATTTTTAATTGTGATGAAATCGTCATTGAGTTGTTTGTTACTACTATTTGATTTGAATTTTTCTCCTAGTTTATTAGCTACTTCAAACGGTTCCGTAACTATTACGCAGTCATTAATTAGTATTTTTATTTGCTGTGATGGTGAACCTTTGAATTTTTTAATCTTTGTCCATAACTCTTTGGAGCTGGATTGAGATGAAATAGATGTAGGGAAATTAGGCCAAGAATTTGTTTTGCTGGTCTTAAGTATATTGCGAGCTTTGGCTAGGATTTTTTTGAATGCTATAAGATCGATAGGTTATTTTCATTATTTTCCGAGCGATACGACTGTATGAATGTAGATAACTACTCATATCAGACGTTTTCCAATTAACCATCACAGACAACTTGGTGGTTTTCGATTTATTGAATATTTATAAATCATGTTCATGTGTAGCATTTTTGTGACTGATCACTGATAGCTTTAATTAATACATTTTGAACAATAATATCCATCAATCGTCAAAAATCGTTAAATACGCTTCAGCATCTATATAACAAAAAAAAAGAAAATATGCAAAATAAAGTTTCATAGGTATTTGATTTTTCCGCACTATAAAACGTATTTGTATATCACTCTACTGCGTTTTACATCACCTATGATGTATACGCAAATGCCGTAAGTCCCGAACCATTAGGAACTTGTGGGCTATCTGTGTGTGACGTATCCGAAGACGATTGATTATTATTTTTTCTCTTCTGTCAAGATTAGGATTTGACCATTGATATATTGTATTTTTGATTTCGTAGAGTTTGGTACGTTGTCTCAACCGACAACCAGTGACCTTCCTACTTAATTTCGATAAGTTTTTGGATTTGGTATTTTTTTTATCTGTGCAGTATGTTGATAAGTTTAATTTTGGAGTGTATCTTAAGATTTTGTTGCTATCTTGGCATTTTAATCTGTATTTTCGTTCCTTTTCTATAATACTGTGCCATGAATCATTGTGAATTTAATATTATATAAGCTATCTTTATGTACAAGAAATATACACATAATAGTTGTATATTATTTTTGATTTGAACCAAATACGTAGTCTTTTTTGTGATAATGTATTTTAAAAAAAAACAACATTTAACTAATAATGACTTACTTTTATGGATGGTTTGTGAACCACTTTTTACTGTCAGTTATTCTGTTTTTAAGCTATTTGAGTTTTATAAAAAATGTTATATATTCTTAAATTAAATAAGCACTTCTTAAGGAACAAAGTGCGAATTGTCATGCAACAATATTTCTACTTCTTTCGATCAGTAGATGATCCGAGAATGAATGATTCTTGCAACCGGTTAGGTAACTATATATACTGTTGGCTAATTTTTAGAAACTGTGTTGTGTCAAAATGTACAGTATTCTGGACTTCACGATACTTATATAAATTTCACGTTTCAAATGTATCTCACATTAATCACACTTAAATTGTGTTGCAAAACAATCACTTCGTAAGCTTAAAAAACACACACCTTATGTCCTCATTACGAAACATTATCCTCATTATCGATACAATTTTGTTAGAAAAAAAAAAAAATATATTTCATCTTAATTTATGGTCAACATTGAAGGAACAAATTTAATTCCAACCAAATCTTGACCTCAGAACTATCAACATCTGACAATTTTTTTATTTTAAAAAAACTATACAAAATTATAGGTAAAATGCAATTTTCAATTAAATGTTAAAACTTTTTTCTATTAATAAATGATTGTGATTAGATACTGAAACTGAAGGTTATAACCAGGGCTTTTAACATTTAAATTTAAAATCAACAAAAAAAGGCTCAAAATTGTCTTAAAAAGATAAAAAAATGTCAGTTTTTTCCTACTTTGTTATAAAATATTAAATGTTTCGGCCTTTGCTGCGTATATTATTCCAAGACTACAAAATTACAAAAACCAATAAGATTATGTCTTTTCTACCAGCTACCATTTACTCTGCTTCAAAGGAGAAAAATGCCAAAAAGGCAGAAAAACTAATAAGAACTAAGAACCATTGTATGTCAACTGTCAAGTAAGCAAATGCCTTAGGTATTGAACCATAGTTCTAATAATTTGTTAAGACACAACATTAAAAACCGTCGATTGTGTACTAAATATTCATTAGTTTACTCTGTCAAAATGGTTTCCTCTTTGCAACAGTTGTGTGTGCCATATTTCCATCTGTAATATAAAAATATAATTATTTAATTCAAGGTTTCAATAAACTGTAAATGTATTGTTTTCAAATGAACAACTAAGGAAATCTCTATATATAGGTTTCTATCATTTTTTAACCTCATCATTGAGATGTTGTAACTGGTCTTAGTAATATTGTGAGCACAAAAAAAAATTAAAATTTGGGAGGTCTTCACTGTATAGAAAGCCAATGGTAGGTACAGCTATAATGGTCTTTCCATTGCTTTTCTTTGTATCGATCTATGTTTTATTGTTAGAGGAATATTATTTTTGCTGCAACGCCAAACTGTGTTACTTTTTACTTGGTTTGGCGCTAGGAATTTAGCTAAAAATATACAAATTACTTAACATTGAGCTTTTTTACAGACAAGAATATGCGGAGCAATAACATATCCAGTTTAGCACTCACGCGAATTTTTTTTGATAAACCTTTGTATATCAATGAGTTTTGAACGATGGTGCAAAAATGAATTGACAGAAATCATTAGTTATGATTTCTGTCAATACGTTAAAGGGACTGTAAAAACGTTTCGCACTCTCTTGAGATTGATTGAAGCAGATATATCTCCGCCTTCTCACAGGTGAGTACCTATTGATTACAGTAATATAGGTACAGTTGCTATAAAAAAAATAATGATCTTCATTGCCAGATTTTCTTTTTTTCCACTTAAGGTATAGTTTTTTGTAACGGAGCAATATTAGCACCAGATAAGTTATACATGATGCTAAAGTATAGGTTGCAACAAGATCATTTTTGTAAACTGTGGCGGACTGCAATGGAGTTAGGTACTGGAGCCTGTGAATCCTCAGCTTGTCGACACATTCGGCAGGTTTGTAGAGCCATAGCAAGGTATTGGTCAAAATTCATTTATTTTCCAAAAAATGCAGTTGACATGAGGAAAGTAGTCAGTGGATTTTACAACCGTTGTAGATTTCCTAGAGTGATTAGAGCTGTAGATTGCACTCACATAAAAATTCACCATCACTCGGTAAGCAAAAAAAACCTTATAAAATTATGAACTACTAACTAGGTTGTCATAAATACTATTATCATTTATAATATATGCTGTATAGTGTATCATGATTAACTAACTAGTAGTAAGTTAGTTAATCATGGTTAATACTAACGGCGTTTATTGAAAAATATCCTAGGAGGTTCAAAGTTGTAGATTGGACATATAATACATAATATTAAAAATATTTAACCCACGCTCCCAGCAAAGTTAGACAGGACCCGCTATTAAATAAACAATGAAAAGTCAAGTTGAAGAGTAAAAAAAATGTATTTGAATCAAATTTTAAGGTAATGATTAAAGGCGTGAATATGAGCCGGTGCGTTTTTATTACAAAAACGTGTCTTGCAGGGAAAATTATTACTCTGTAGAATTCAGTTATTATTATTTTTTTAATTTCAAATAAGAAAACATTTTGCCGGTTGGATCAAAGATCGATTTTCAAAATTAAAATTATAGAAGCTAAATTATGCATTTGAATAATGTTTAATATTTGTTATTTTTCTAGCATTATTTAAAATAAAATGAAAATTCACCTGACCTAGAAAAAGTTCTCATCTTTCAAATAAAAATAAATTATTGAAATTCAACTTATAAATAAGAGTGAGAGTATTTCCTGTGAAGTCATTTTTGTTGATAAAATACAGCGTATAATCTAAAACCAATATAACCTGCCCTAAATATAGGTATCGGGCCGTAGATTAGTAGATAATTATTATAATCAAGGTAGAAATTAAAATATAAAATATAATTTTCAAATTATTAAAATTCAATTTTAGATTCTGAGCGGAGCATTGAATGTATTTATTTTACAATGATGTGTGTTTTTATATTTATTTATTTATTTATTTTGTTTCAGGCAACAAAAGTGCTTCGATTTTCTTCAACAGCAACTTTTCTGATATCAAAGTGAATCTAGTTGGTGCATTTTAGAGGCCAAAATTTAAAATTAACAATATAGTTTTTACTTTTTAGGGACAAGCAACAAACAAACAAAAAATTAAGGTAAAATGGGAATTTTCAAGCAAAACTAATTTTCGAAATCGATTTTTGTTTTATCTGTGTTTTCTATACACCATAAAATTTTCTAAATATTTTTACACGTGTTAAACTATTTGTAGACACATTGAATTTTCGATTATCATTCGTTTTTTTGAACAAATGTCGATAAAAAAATTTTCATTAAATCGAAAAATTTGAAAATATAAGACAAAGCTCCTCTTTATAGTTGTAATAAGTGAAAATTAAAAAAAAAAGTTGATCGTAAATCCATAATATTTTTTTATGAGCGTTTGAATTTAGAATTTTGACAAAATACGCAAAAATTATAAACATTTTTTTTATTATATCTAAGATTTTAAAATTTAAAAGAAGATTCCTTATAAGTTTGTCTACCTTTATCGAAAAAAAAATTCTACCGGAAAGTTAAATTACGTGTTAGAAATTGAAATTTTTACAAATTGGATATTTACTCCATTTCTCATTTAGCGATTTCTTAATTTGTTGTATTTTGAAAACGAATAACTGCAGACTCTTTAAATTTACACCAATGTTTTTTCTATCAATTCATATGTTTGATAAAATGTTCAAAATTTTTTAGTAAATTAGAATATTTTTTTTCTTGTTAAATGTAGGAAAACTTAAGGGAAAACACTTTAAAATCTTAGATATAAATAGAAAATTGTTTACAAATGTTGTCAAAATTCTAACGCTCATAAAAGAAAATTGTGGATTAACGCTCAACTTTTTTTTAGTTTCCATAAAGGCTTTAATAACAACTTACGAGGACTTTTATACTACATTTTCAAGTTTTTTTACAGGGCAAATATTTTTTTTATCGATAATAACTTTAAAAAAACTAATAATAATCGAAAATGTCACGCCTATAAATATTTCATTACGGATCGACAGTATTATAATAATCATATCAAAACAATGTAATAAACTCAAAGTTTATTTAATAACTATATAACTCAAACACAACGACGATTATATTTATATACAAACATATTAATAGTTAATACGTAATACATTTACCAAACATTCAATATTCAAACTATATACATACATGTTATACACAACACATATTATATCTGAATTTATTGTACGATGTATAACAATAATTCAGATAATAAAACGAAGTTATGAGAAATAGAAAAATTCTGTAAATAAAAATCGAATAACAATGAAAACGTTTTGGGCGGTCTTACTAAATCCATATGGAAATATCGTGACCGCTTGTTGATTTGTGCTATTAATCAATCAAATGTTGTGTTTAGTTTTTATAAATATAGAATATATTTTAAATATATAAGAGACCCATTAGTTCACCCCGAGCAATATGTGTATTATACTATAATCTCGGTATGGAGAAGGAATTATTACATAGGTTTCTAACCATTATTATTAGCCGTTAAAGAATGCTGTTAGAAACATTAGGCAATTTTATTCAGAAAGGGCTGAAACTTATCAATTTGAATGCAGGGTGATATTTCATGTATCGTGGCGCGTTGCTAAGGAGTTGTTTTAGGACTGCTTAAGCACTCCCTCGGCTGTATGATCTAAAAGTATATTTAAATAATAAATTAAAACACTCCCTTTAAAAAATCCTGGCTAAATGACTATTTATGCATGCATACTGAATAGCAAGTTTCTTTAACAGTTTACATTTCATTTTAGTCTCTAAGAATTGTTTCAAATGAAATGAACAACAACGATTTTAATATTGTAGATAATATTTACAATCTGTATTTTATATACAATAATTAATGAATATGTTGTAAAAAGAAATTAAACAATGTGGACAAGTGTCAACTAGTCATTATGGTTAAAGAGAAAAAATATTAACACTTGAGGTTGGGTTTAAATTTTAATATATTATAATTATATTTATTTATTTAACTACTATGTTCTTATTATAATTCTCAAATGTAAGATTTAATCACTGTTTCTAATGATTAGTAAATAGTGTTAAGACCTTTTAAATATTATAAGTTATAATTAAGACTTTGAGTGGTGTTATAACTTGCATTTGAATTGTCTTGGGTGCTTATAAGCTGTTAAGTTATACTGTAAACCATATCCAAAACTTTATTCGACTGTGGACTCTGAGTGTAGATATATATATTTCTAAAAGTAATTATTTTGGATGGTAAGTAGGTACTTTTATTGGATACACTTAATAGATAGGACATTAAAAGTGTGAATCATTCTATATTATACAACACATCTTTATGTACAAGAAATATACACATAATAGTTGTGTATCATTATGTTTGATTTGAATTAAAGATGTAGTCTTCTTTATAATGTTGATTCTGTATCGGATCTCTAAAAAAAATAAATATAACATTTTATTAATAATGTTTTACTTTTATGGGTAGTTTGCGAACTACTTTTTAGTGTCAGTTATTCTGTTTTTAAGCTGTTTGGGTTTTGTTAAGAATCAAAATGTTCTTAAATAAAATAAGCAGTTTATAAGGAACAGAGTGCAAATTGTCATGAAAACAATATTTCTACTTTTTGCGATCAGCAAATTCTGATAAAATTAAGAAACGTAGTCGGCAGCAACCAGTTTTTGTAAGGCAACACTTGTTTGTCTCCCTATCCAGCCAATTATTTGAATACTTGCTATGTAGTATTTCCACGTCTCTGCACACAAGTCGGCTTTCAACGTTTCTTAACTTGAACAGAGTATAGATGATGTGGATGATGTGAGTAATGAATGATTCTTGTAACTGGTTAGTTAACTATTATAGTTAACTAATTTGTTAGCTAAAATGTTTAGAATTCTGTTCTTCATGATATATAGATTGCATGTTTAAAATGTATCTCACACTAATCGGTACTGAAATTATAGATGACAACCAAGACTTGTAATATCAAAAATCAACAAAAAAATTTTTAAAAAAGGATTTCTCCTCCAAAATGCCTTAAGTTTTTATGTATTTATGCCTTTCATGAGCTTGTTCCAAAATTTTAAAAACCCAATAAGATTTTGTGTATGTATATTATATACTGGGAATTGCTTACCCTGTCATAAAGTAGAATACATGATCAAAATATGCAAAAATAAACTTTTAAAATAAAATAATATAGTAGTAGTATGACATAAATTTATATCAACTACCCTCAGCTAGATTGTATGTCAAGTCAAAAAATAAGCAAATACCTCAAGTCTTGAAGCCTAGTTATAACAATTTGTTTACCTAACATTTACTACTAATACGTAATAACTAAAGCAGTAAAAAGCATACAGACTAAATATTCAATAACTTACTCTTTCGAAATGGTTTCCTTTAGCAATCATCAGTCTGGCGTTCTATACTTCTATCTGTAATAAAAATATATAATTCTTTAATCAAGGTTTGAATAAACTATAAACATATGGTTTTCAAGTAAACAAACTGAGGAAGTTTCTTTGATGTAGGTTTTCACCTAATTGGTCTTAGTGTTGTGTATAAAAAAAAAATAAAATTAGGTAGGTCTTTGCTTTATAGATGGCCACAGTGTTGAATGTGTAAAATTTGAAATCAATGACAAATAATAAATAATTGCATATAAAAAACAATTCTGAGCTGAGACCTCTATTTTTAAGGATATTTTACAATTTATTTTTATGCTATTATTAATAATTTGAATAAGATGGTGATTTGTGGCGTAAATAGTTTACAATAATTAATTTATATATTTTGAACATTTCATTATGTGACACTACTTCTGCCATAAGAATTTAATATTTTTAAATATTTAACTTACTTGCACTTCATATTCAATTCCTTTGCTTTTCAGTTTCTTTTGTAAAGATTGGATGCGTCTTTTTAATGCAGCTTTACTTTGTTTTTCTTGTTCAGGAGCTAATGGTCTTTCCATTGCTTTTCTTTGTATCGATCTATTTTTTATTGTTAAAGGAATATTATTTTTGTTGCAACGCCAAAATGTGTTACTTTTTACTTGGTTTGGAGCGAGGTATTTAGCTAAAAATATATAAATTATATAAATACAAATTTACAATTGATTACTTTACAATGAGATTTCTTACCAACAAGAATTTTCTTATGCATCAAATAGTTGTTCATGGTTTCTGCAACTACCTTGGCAACTTCCGGGTACAAAAACTCAACAAATGCATATCCTCGAGCTTTTCCTGTTTTCTATAGTTATTATTATTAATATTAATAAAAATCTAAACAAACCTATAAATTACTACAAGTGAGACAATTACTTTGCTTTTAGGAATGTTAATGTTTGTGACTTCGCCAAATTGTGCGAAATACTGTTTCATTTCATTTTCGTAGAAACCGTGGGGCACATGCCCAAGATACACAACACCCCTATCATTGGATGCTTTTGATGCTTTTTCTTTTGGCGGTTCGGTTTTGTTGAGCTAAATTAAACAAATTTAATTATTACATAGACACATGGCATTCGTAAATTTAAAATTCCAAGCATTTATCGTTTAAATTTCAGTTTAGAAAAACTAAAAGAGTACACAAAAGTATAGAAATTGTTAAATATTATTTTCGGGATTTACTTACTTTTATAAAGCCACTTTTAAACATTATATTTGATTGACTTAACAAAATAAAATAAAAATGTTTAATTGAAACTAAAGAACTAAAGACGTAAAGTAAAAAGTAAACCTCGATGATCATTGATCGGTGATTACGGATACCGTGACTGCCTATTGACTTGTTCGAAGCTAGTAACAAGATACTATCACTGTTTATTTTAGGTTAGGTTACTATTTTTCACGGAACCAGGTCTAATATTATAATTGTCTGTACTTTAGGAACCACATATTTGAATAGTAAATAAATAATACATTACATAATTATTTATTATTGATAAGACGGTGTTTGAAATTTTAAAAATCGAACATGTCCCTGTACGAATGCGATGCGAAACAACTACAATTAAATAGTTGTAGATTTTTATAGATCTAGTAGACGATCATCTTCTTGATGGGACTGTACACAATGTTATACGATGACAATAATTATTATAATATTAGGCATGAGAAAACCATCGTTTGACCGAAGCAAAACAGTTGATGACCAATTCGGGCTCGAGCCGGCCTAAAATCTGAATCCTGCATTTTCCGTCAGTCTATTAATAGTCGATCCAGGCAGCTCTTGTGTTTTGCAGCGACGTCGATTTACAATTCGCCGATTCGGGACTCCTTCGCAATGGCGGTAAACTATATATTTTTTTCAGGCATACTATTTAAATATTTTTAATCGCAAATGTTAACAAATTGTCCCTTATTAAAGGTCACCTATTTATTGTATTTGCAATTTTTGATTTTCTGAATAGGTATACTTACTATACCTAGCTTGTTCCTTCAATACTTGTTTAATATCAACTGTTAGAACATGAAAAGTTGCAATATTATAATAATGACATTTAAAAAAATCAAGCTCAATAATTTTAATCTTTTTTTAATTAGAGTTTTTGGTCTATACTCCAGGGCTAAACCCAACTTTTAGTCAATAAATTATATCATGGTGCCTATGTGAGATTCTATATCAATTTAAATATTTCAGTATTTGCGTTTTCTTAGATCATATACTAGTATATGATCTAAGTGTGTTTTCTATACCTTTTACAAGTCTTATGTCGAAAATGTATCAATTCAAAGACATTTACAATTAAAATTTACCCATGGTAAATTAATTAGTCATGGCAATCACTGTCCAGGTGTTTGGCCTAATACTAATAGCTACTAGCTAATGTATTTACTATCAAAAATTACTTGTTTCACCTTTTAAAAATGTACAAAATTAATAAATTCAATTATTTATTTGTAATAGTACAAATCATTTACTAAAAAAAATTAAGTCTAATAAGAAAGCCCTACAACTTTTCTTTTAAAAATTGTATGTAAATGTTTAGTTTGTCACCTTATGACATATTATGACTTATGACTATTATAAATACATTTTAAAACTATTGTGATGTTTATGTGTATTGTTAGTTTAATTATAAAAATTAATAACTCAAATAATTATTATATTCTTATTTTTTTTTTAAATTTTGATTTCTGCCAGATCTTAGTAAATTATATATAAAATAAAAACCAATTAACTGCTTAAAAATATTTATTTATGTTAATGTACTTTATCACACTTGTGGCATATTCTCTAATACCCTCAATAACTCATATCTGTTTATTTAGACTTTATTGGGTATCCAATTAATTATTACAATGATCGCCATTAATCTAATTCATCGTCTCAGTCCAATCTATTCATTTGCTCGATGGACACTATGTTCCACAGGGTAAGTAGTATATGACATATTTTTAAATATTATAAATATTAGGGTAAATGAATAAATAAATAAATAAATTTAGAATTTGACATCCCATAGTTTTATGTTAATAATAGGTATATTTTTATCATTTTAGACTTGTTCGTTACTTACACCCTACAGATAAAGAGCTTAGACAGTTATCAGGGCTAAAGAAAAAAGATTCAAAATTAAGTAAACGACCTATGCATGCTCAAAATGATAATATTGATGTATTTCAGATACCCAAAAATTTAGATATTGAAGTGAGTATCTATGTTTATTAGGAAATATTAAATAAATAAAATAATCTTATTGTTGTTTTAATATTACTATATATTTTAGTTAGAAAATCAACCTATTCAAGAACATGAAATATATCAGCTCAGATATTTTATGGAATATCAATGGCTGGTGAATTTCTCTTTATATGCAGCTTTAGTATATTTAAGTACTGAAATATACTCTTACTATTCACCAATCGATAATGAAATTAATCTTAGTATGCTATGGTGTTCAATCGTCATTGTTTTCGCGTTGTATCCTTTTATTGAATAAGTTCAATAGTTCATACATTGTTAAAAATTGTTTTTTTTTCCTGAATTTTTAAATTTTAGCAAAATTCTTATGTCTCTGACTTTAGAATACTTTCGTGGTGGTTTTGAATCATCGGGTGAACGTTCGACTGTAATAGTTGCAGCTTGTGTTCATTTAGTGATTGCTATGATTATTTTAGTCATAGATGAGTCCAAACTTGATGTTCGATTGGATACTGCTTACAGAAGCTTTAATGAAACTTCAACAGCATTTTTAAACAATCATGGCTTATCTTCTCAGTAAATACCTACATAATACTGATTTAAAATTTTTAAACTAAATACATTTATATTTTATATTTTTCAGGGGACCTGCATCAAAGTTAATAGTAAAATTTTTCCTAGCTTTATGGTGTGCAGTTACAGGGGCCATGTTTGTATTTCCTGGAATACGTACAGCTAAAATGCATTGGGATTGTCTTAGGTGATTAAATTTTAGATTTTAAACTATTATGATATAATTACATTTATAACTTTATTTTTTAGATACTACGAATGCAATGAGCTACATGGCAAATATTTTTCATATAGTTCAAATTTCATCAAAGGTTTTTTGAATTTTAGTTTAATAACTCATTTTTTGCTCGTTTTACTTTGGGTTAAACCAATAGCAGTGGATTTATTAACTGCAAAAAATCTTTCCGGATTAAATAAACCATTGTAAATATATTTAAACAGATATTTGACTTAAGTATAATTGCTAATTGTCATCATTATTATTTTAAGAATGACATTAGAACAGTTTGAGAGCTTAAGATGTTGGATGGTAGTTTTAGTGGTTTTTCAAAGACTTTGTCTGATGCCTACGTTTATGCAAGCTTATCTTAATATGGCTCATGAGCGTTTGGAGCAACAAAAAAAAGAAGCCGGAAGAATTACCAATAAAGACTTACAAAAACAAGTATAAACCATTGGTTTTTGTTGAAATATATGTGTCTGTTTAAATTAACTGTTTGAATTTTTTCCAGGTTTCTGTGATTTTTTACTACACGTGTGTTGTGGTGCTACAATATGTTATACCACTCGTGATGATGTTATTCTTCATATTCTTTTATAAAACATTAGGTGAATCATTGCCTATATGCATAAAACAAATAATGTTCGTAGGTTAATATAACATATTTTTCAGGCAATTTCAGTTGGGTTCAAATTATTGCGAACTCTTCTCCGGCAATAGATAATAATAGTGATCAGAATTCATTGCTTGAAGCTAACCAAGCATATTTTTCTATTCAGTCTTTAAAACAAGTAAACATTAATGACATTTTTATAACTATAAAATGTACTATAATATTATAATCTATTAGGTATTAACAGCAGATGTCTACCGAGGAATATTTGGCTTTGCTACTTGGTGGATATGTTTTTCATGGTTTCTATCACTGTCAGTTGGTGTATTCTATCAATCTTACTTATCGCCTAAGTAATTACTTGATTAAAAGTGTCTTTGTTTTTAAACATGTAAATACAATTCCTAAACATAATTTTTGTAAGAAAACAAAAAGGTGATTTTAATTGTTTAACACTAGACATATGAAAAGTTTAAAAGTCAGTCAATATTATGAATATTTAGTTAATAGATTTATTTTTATGTAACAATTAAATTAATTGTTTATGTTTAAGACATAAGTCAAACTTTTATATGTTATATGATGTATTAGTTTGTTGGTTTAATAAAATGTAACGTGTTCAATTCATTTTAATTTTAAACACTTCAGTTATTATTTAATACAAAGTATAATACAAGTAAAAATATTTACTATTCAAATATAAATATTTAATAGTAAATAATATTAGTATAATTTTAAACTGTGCACTTGAGCATTTATAGAAGCTTCATTAGCTGGACCAATCGCTAAAACCGTCATTTCATTGTTTTCAGTAAAAGTTGCTGTTGGAATGTCAAATAACTTGCATTGCTTTTGAACACATTCTAATGTTTTTAAATCTGGTGCACGTAAAACAACTCTAGCACACTGAGAGGGTAAATTGCGCAATTTAGTTTTATTGTTTGCAGTAACTGATACGACTGCACACTAAAACAACCATAATTTATTCGATTAAATTTATTTAATAATTAGATGCGCTTCAAAAACAAATTACTTAAGTAACTTATTTTTTATAATTATTATATTACATAAAATCATAGAAAAATATACATTCATAAATAATAATAATTGTTAATACACTTCAAGGCTTTGAGTGAATAAATCAATTTCTTCTTTTTCAACTGGACCTATAGCCATCACTGTTTTAGATCTGGGAGCGACTTGTGTACGACCTGCATCTACTACTACATAAGTAGTGAATCCTTTTTCAATGGCCAATTTCTGAAATTCTAACATAGTTTCTTCATCTGCTACCTTGAATATATTTACTGGTTTATTGTTTGACTCCCAGCTTTTTATTTCTCTTGGTTTTAACCTCAAGCCTTCTTCATAACAGTGCACAATTGCATGTGAGCACTACACAATAATAAAATTATACTTTGTAAAACTATTTATTGGAAGAACTAACTAACAAGGGGCAGAATATCTGTGAAGAGGTCAATAATCACAATTTGTTTGATTATTTACAATTTAGTAGAAAAAAATTAATTTAAACCTAGACAACCATATTATCTAGATTAGTCCAAGTTATCTAGACCAGCAGTTCTCAACTTTATTATATCTGTGACCACCCCACTGCCCACAGTTTGAACATTTTCATCTACCACTTGACCAAATAGCCTTTTATTCCTTATAAAAAATGTAAAAGTTATTTTACATGTACCACACATGTACTGAATCGTGGTTGAAATATACTGTATGTACTGAATTTTATTTTATTATAAACTACAAAATTATGTTAATATGATCATTTAATGCACAAAAAGAAAGTGAAATATTTACGATTATTGTTTATATCACATAAACCAAATAATAATTAATGTGAATAATGATCCGTTTCAATTTTTTTTTATAGAGTAAGATTTTATTAGTGTACCACCCATGAGTTTTCCACATACCAAAGGTTGAGATACTACACAGTTGATTATTAAACCAGTACGTTTACACCATTTCACTCCAAATTAGATTCCTACTTAAACACAGTACTCAAACATAGAGTTTATAACTAGTGTTTTGCTGCTCAGGGAAAACAAAAAATAAATGTCTTATAATAATGATTAAAAATGTAATACTATTTAAAAACTTGACATTTACCGCCCCCTCATAGTCAGCAGCCCAGGTCAAAACAACACTCTGTTGCCCCACCCCCTAAGTACAGCTCTGATTGTGTGTATGTAATTGATGGTAGTAAGTAATAAAACAGAAATATGAACGATTATATATCTGTGTAGCAAAAATTTCTTACTAAATTGAACTAGAAATTTCACTGAGCCACTCTCAGAAATCAAAAAAATGATGACCCTTAATTTACAATGATAAAAAATGTGTAATCTCCCCTAGAGATAATTTCATCAATTCACAAACCACCAAATCAGAGGAAAATGCAATTTAAAACAATTTAATTCTAAAATGTGATTTATTTAAAATTGTCTCACTTGTGCTGCAACTTTGCCTTTGCCCATTTTCAAATCATGGCGAACCAATAATGCAATTTTGAATTCTCCATTTTTATTTGGTAGCGATTTGGGTGCTTGTTGTTGACTTTCAACCACGCTTTTTTTATCTTGACTTGTACAATTAGTTTTGAAAATATAATTAACGATCGTATGGAGAGCCAGACCAATCAGTACACCAACGGTTAATCCACCATAAAATTTATCAGTTGCAAAAGTCATTTTAAATTCAGTATAAAAATATCGCCGGTAATTTGATTTAAGGTGAATAAAATATGAACCTTTTTTAAGTATATTTTTTTAGTATCATTCAAATTGTCTACAGTCTACACCAAATAATATAAAACGTAAAATGTAAATTGTGTAGAAGTCAATGAGAAGTTGAGAACGTTATAAAATAAAAATATAATTTACTCCCCCGTAATCCCATATACAAACCACGGAATAATTATTCTGTGTACAAACGTCAGGTATTCAAAAATCCACTGGTGAATGGTGATATTGATTACTTGATTGTTGATAAAATTATGATGATAGTATTATCAGTATTCAGTATTATCACAGAACAATATAACCTTAAATAATAAATAATTCGATATTCTTGGAGAATTATATTTATATATAAAAAGTACCAAAGCGGTTTTACAATGGTATACGGTGGTAACAATGCATCATTAACGATATCCCAATCCCTAATCCTATCCGAATTCCAAGTATTGTAGTTAACTACAACTAGTGAACACCTAATAGTAATAAAATTGCAATTTACAAATTTTATTGGAATATAACTCAAATTAACCTAGTGTTACTATCAAACGGTTTAGTTAAAAATGTTAAGCAACTTAGTTTACGTGTTGTAATTTTCCATAAATAAATTGAATATTAATAAGTTTTTAAAATAATATTTTCGTATTTTTAACGATATAAATTAGGTAGAGCAATATGTCCAAAGAAGTTATGATCACCATGAATGCTCCCACAACACCAGTTCAACAAGGCCTGTTCCGAAAACGAAGCAGTAGACCAGTGCACATCAAATCATGGACCATCATGTTAAACAAAAATGGGTTTGTCCGGTGTCATCTTCAGCATTGTCGATACATAGCTTATTGTATAGACGACATGAGAGAGCATTTCAAAACATGTCGTGGTGAAGTAGCTGGTAATTTTGTGTGCCCGACTTGTGGTGGTCAAACAACATCACAAGAAGCACTTGATTATCATAAACGAAACAATCATAAAGATTCTGATGTAATGTCAATTATAATAAAACCCACTCTCACCGAACAACAATTGACATTGTGGACAACTGATATCAAGACTCGTGGGTACACTCAATGTCTCATGCCTGATTGTCATTTCATTAGCTACAAAGTTTCTGAGCTTGAGCAACACTATGAAAAGTGTCTTGGTGAAGATCCAGATACATCCTCTAAATTTTTATGTCGTCATTGTAAAGGGTATACATCGTCACAACAAGCACTCCAATTTCACCAAAACAATCACCATAAAGATTTACTGTTTCCAATAAAACAGGTAGGATCAAGGGTAGGATTGTGTATTTATTAATTTATACAAAATTACATATTTACAGTCTTATTAATAATAAATTAACAATTTTAAATATAGTCCATTTTATTTTAATATGTTTAATCTCACAAGTCATTGATCAATATATTTTACTATTTTAGTATCTACTACCTGCAATGTATGCTAGAGATGTTCTGGGTAAAAAATTTGTCATAAACCAGGTATCATGTATTAGCCGAGTAAAATTTATAATACTAACCGGGTATCGAGTATCGGCCAAGTAGAAATGTAAATACAAAATGGGTACTATACTAGTAGTATAATACTACAGCAAAGCACTATCAACTATCAATTACTGATTAAGAAATTATTGATAATATTAATTAAGTCTTTAAACACTCAGTACTGGGTAGTTCTACAATTATAATAAATTAATAACAAAAATTAAACTAATAAAAAGTGAGTCTGAGCATATACTTAGGCAAACACTAATATAAAAATACATTAACCTGGCTATTGTAAATCGGTTTAGTTATTCCAAATACATACTAAAATAAATTATAATTTATTAGGTACCCTAGAATTTTTTATTTTCCCTGTATATTAATTATAGGTATGCATATATCTATGTATAGATTATCAGCTTTTGCCACTTACCGGATATGAATTGAAAATGTAGACATGTAGTATTTCACCGGGTACCGAGTCCTAAATCTGATATTGAATACTGGGCCATCGAGTAATTGCAGGGTACCCGAAACATCTCTTATGTCTACCAAGAATCTAAAATTTTGTTTCATATTTTTTTCATTTTTAAGATCCCTAACATTTTTAAAAATTCACCAAACTTAAAATTTAAAAGACGATGGTGGTAATCAATTTAAAAGTACCAATATACTTATGTAAAATGTATTATTATTTATTTTCAGAAAAATAAAGATGATTTTGATGAAGATAATAAAATTAAATCTTACCCAATGGGTCAGTATGGACATCCAACATCAAGTACTACAAATCCTGCTAGCAAAATAGTTACATATTCTCAATGGAAAATGCAAGAAGATTTAGCTGACACTGAATCTATCTGTTCTGAGGTGAATGTTAACAATCCAACTGATGCTCAAATTAAAGAATGGATAATAGATTTAAAAAATGGTTATGTACATTGCAATCACAATGCTTGCAAATACATGTCATTTGATGTAGATGATATGAATGATCATTTTGCTACATGCTTTGAACCATATCTTGATGATGAATTTGAATGTTCTATTTGTGGAGGTAGGACCACATCATCAAATAAACTAAAAACACATCTCTTGCACCATCATGAAGAAGGTTACAAACACTTAACAGAGGAGGAATGTGGTTTTAAATTGGTTGAAACCGAAGATGGCTTAGAGTTGCAGTCTGAAAATAAAGAACCTATAAAACGTAAAACTGATGAGGTTGACGAAGAATATGAAGAAAAACATTCTGTCAAACGAAAGTCATATGATATACCCTATAACCATTTAACCAAATGGCGTGATGAACTGCTACGTAACAAATTTATAAGGTAAGTCAGTCATATTATCATTTTATCTATCATACTATCAATAATTTGAATTTATTTATTTTTCTTAGATGCACTGCTGCAGATTGCAGTTACTTAGCTTTGGATATGTTAGAAATGAAACAGCATTCAGATGAGCATGTAGATAGTGTTTATTGGTCATTTAAAGATCGTAATTTAGAAGACAGAGTTGCAAACTATTGTGATGCATGCAATGGTCATTTCAAAAGTATAAAACATTTAGATGGCCATAAATTAGTATCACATAATAGTAGTGATACATCCAATATAGATAGCTTGCTAGTAGAAAACAATGAAGAAAATATTGAAGACGATGAAGAAATTGAAGAAATTTTTTAAGTAATAATTTTGATCCAATTTGATATTCTCACATACCTACATTAAGATTGCAAATGCACATTGTGTGTTCAATTTAATATCATATAGGCCAAAAGTTCAATATTTTACCATTATTTTACTATTAAACTTATATTCAGTGTTTATTTAATGTATTTAATTAATTTTTTGTCAGTTTTGTAACTTCTCAAAACAAAAACCTGATTTAGACGATTTTAAGAATTTTTTTTGCATTATTTTTTTGAAGCTTCAACTGTTTTTACTTTTTAACCATGCTGTTTGCTAGGAATCATATAAGTTTCTACAACCAATTGTTTAGTACATTTTAGTACATAAACTTTTATAATTATCAAAACCATATTGAAAAATGTATTGTACATTTTGTGTGTGATTATAAATATTTTGTATTGTTTAATATACATGCAGAGTAATTTGTAAAACCTATTAAAATAACTTCACAGTTAATTTGTGAAATTTAAAAAACAATGTTAATATTACTATATTTTAAATAATTTATAATACCTGCTGAGTTTCTGTTTTCCTAGTTATTTTCAATTTTACAAAAATTAACAGAAATTGTATGTATTATGTATAAAACGTATTAATCAGTAAATTTTGGTCTGATTTTATAAATTCTATCAATCTTGTGTACATGTATAAAATTTCACCACGGTAATAAATACTTACTATCAGTAGCAGCTCATTAGTAAACATTTTGAGGAGACTTAAATTTTATAATATAAATTCCATACAACAACGAATACGAAAAACCTTTTTATTAAAAAAATTAACTATATTAAATTATTAATACTTAATTTAATATTTAGTTAGGTATGTTATTTTGTTTATGAACTTATTTGATTTTGCGATCATCTGACAACTCGTCAATAACACTACAACAAAAGTTGGATCTTTTGCTATATCACCCAGCAGATTTTTTTTCAATCGCCAAGGATGATAAACTTGAAAGCCGGTCATTTTCGTGGGCCGATAGTCCCGTCAGGAAAACGGGATTTTTCCGGTAGGCCTTCATCAATATTATAATCAGAGGACCCAATCCCCCCCCCCCCCAAAAAAAGAAATAGTTAATACTAACTGAGAAAGTTAAGTCACTTGAAAATAAATATCTACGCAAATCACCTGTGAATTTCAACGGAAAAATTAAATATAATGTGAAAAATAATAATTAGTTTGGATGAATTATTATTACCTACTTTGTATTATAAAATCTAATAGTTCAAGAGGAGGTAAATGTTTTTCATCGTCCGCATAAATTACAGCCAATTCCTTAATCCCCAAAACCTTATGAACTTTGACTCGGGAAATTAGGAGTAGTACCTTTTAAACATTTTTTCATTTACAATCTCTATACAAACTCTAGTTTTTGAAAATCTTCAAATCGTATTGTAACGTGATCGGGGATGACCAGTTAAATATAAGATATTCATTAAATATTTTGGGGTGCTAAGCAGTATTACTACCATTCGGCCGTAGTTTTACAATACTAACCCGTGAGATATATTTATAAAAGGAGGAACTTATAATATTTTGTCACCACATTGTACATTTTATGTTTATAAGTTATAAAATAAATATGTACATATGTATGTGCCTACTAAACATATATTAACAAAATATATAAGTAGGTAATGATGTAACCATCGTTCGAAGTTAGAAAGTTACACGATTGTGTATAAAAAACTTTGCTAAAAAAAATCAAGAAATATACGAAGTTCTCATCATTTGGCTTATCATAAAGACCAGATGCTGTACAAACGGATATATAGGGCCCTAACTTAGTTCTCCAGTTACGTGTAAAACGGCATTTTTGAGATCTAAAAAATATCATTTTACTGTAGAAGCAGCTCTTGAATGATAATTCCATCTAGTATTAGATTGATTTGGTAGTTTAAAACCTTGTTCTTTTAATAATTCACTTCTTTAAGTAGACCGATTAAAGAACGTATGGAACATAGTTATAGATTGCAAATAAAGAGTTTGACTGATTTTATATTGTCTTCACCCTGTGTAACAATACCAGGTTCAACTGATGTGCGTAACAATGAATCAAAAATGTATTTGGAAAAATTTCAAAAACAATAAATATTAGATAGATAAACGTAAGACTTGAACGTCTAAGACTAATCAACGGCGGCGCAGACGCGCAGTGGCACGGCAATATTACCGTCATGAACCTAGGTTCAATAATCATTAGCGTCTAATACCTACTCGACTTATTCTCCCCATAGAGTAAGAATATAATTATATATTCTCCCCGGCCCCTTCCGACAGACCAGCCATGCCATTACATGTTACCTACAGTTGAAATTGTCTGGCTTCAGTTTCACTGAACTGGCGATCAACAATTAAAACGATATTATAATATATTTTCAATTCAAATGAATATATTTTTATACATTATTATTTTTAATTAATCATTATTTACAAGAATTTGTTTTTTTTTAAGGGGAGACGCAGTCACAAAGTCTCCCCTGACGAGCCACCCCTGCTTAAGATGATGCAATAGTAAATATAATACCTATGCAGTTAACATTATAACATTATAATTTATATACAATTATACTGAAAACCCATGTTTTTGAGTACCGATTCTCTTTTTCTCTTCTCCGATTCCTTTCTTCACTATAATTATTTAAATTAATTTTGGACCAGAATTTCATTAATTTATATAACCAGTAAACAAATTACACATTCAAATTTAGAATATCACAGAAATTGATAATAGGTAGTTTCCCTATGAAAAGCACATACAGTACATTTGTTTTTTAAGTGTATTTTATCTGCAGCTGTCTGACCAAACTAAGATATGGCAATTTCCACAAATTATTCATATTGGCTGACGGAAGACATTGAACAGAATAACTAAGATATACAAATAACTAATTATTAAAAAAATACATAGGTAGGTACTATTGTTCTAATGATGGTACATGTATAAAATGTGTAATATTATATTTGCCTCAAATAAAGACGAGGGGCTCGGCGGGATGAAGATCGCTGTTATACATTTTTACGGCAAATTAATAATATTAAACATATATAATATATTAAATTAATATTATAATATATATTTAAAATATAGCCACATTTGTTTTTATAACCATTGGAAGTCTAAATTTTAACAAAATCTGTTAAAAATGAATAGTTATTATGTAGTTAAAAAAAGGTATAGTAGGTGCCTACATAACATTTTGAATTTTAATAGATATCCAAGGCTTAAAAATATAATACAAGATTTTTCGTATACTTCTTCCGGAATTCAAAAAAATTTGGCGGGAACCAACATTCCTTTTTTTATGAGCAATCGAAGTTCAAATGTTGACGATATTGGATGGTATAAATAGGTAGGTTACCTACCGTAGCCCGTAGGTATAACTTTTAAGTATGTAACGTGATTAGTTCTCAAACAATTTGTATTGTTTTGTTATTGTTCAAAAATTATTAATCGCAGAAACTTGTAACATTCTACAATTTGGAATAGCCGAATAGGGTTTTTAAACTTCATGCAATTCATGTAGAATCGTTTTTATTTCAAGTTATAGGTAAGTATATAGGTTGCTATTGAGAACAAGAGAACATTTTTAAAAGTAGGTAGGCACGTCATACCAAATAAAGATTAACCGTAATTAACATACAATATTGTACTATATTGTAGATTTTAGAAGTTACTTTATGGTTTATAGTTTTAGTTTAAAGCATTTTGAAAACAATTATATATGAATACGTTTTTTTAATTTGTTTAACGTTAAGACATAAAACTGACTTATGAGGAATCTATCTCATGTTGAAATTTCATACATTACCTAGGTCTTAGCCCCTAGGTGTAAAAATTTAAAATGTTTAATTAACAAAAAAGTCGAATGTATATTCCCTTACTATAGCAGTGTTGGGTAAGTTACTTTTAAAAAGTAATTTAATTACGTTTTGGTTAGGTAGTATATATTATATATAATATATATATAATATATATATATACACACTTTAATGAAGTATTAATATTGTAAATGGTGACTGTAGTCTAGTAAGATATTAACATAGATTTAGGTAGGTATATCAGTTTAAATGCGTATATAGGTATATATAGGTGGACAGAAAGTATAGTAGTAAATTATTAAAGTAAGTATATTCATTTTAATTCAATTTTATTTTTAAGCCGAACTCCTTTCTTTCTGTTAATGAAGTAATATCAATAATAGCATTAATTCCTGGAATGCTTAATAATATTGTTAACTATTATCGGAATCGAAGGAATCAAAAATAAATATGTATAATTGATTCTGGATATCTTATCGGCTTGTTTTTGTAATACTTTTAAAACTATTATTTTAGTAAATAATGTGGAAAATAACGCTTTAGTGCCTTACTTCATAGAAATTACTTTTAAAAAGTAATTGCATTACAATTGCGTTACTTTAAGTAAAATGTAATGCTATTTCGGCTGCGTTACTGAAAAAGTAATTGCGTTACAGTAATTTGTAATTTGAGTTATGTTTCTTACCGACACAGCAGTTACTACTAACTATAAATAGTAACAAAAAAAAAATGATCAAAATATTTTAAAAGACATAATGTCTAGTAAATGTTAATATGAATAAGTATTTTAGAAAAATCTCAACAAAATATCAAAAACTAATAATAATTTTATTCCGCTTTTTTCTATTTTCTTTTTCTTTTGTTTTTCTAAATTATTTTGAAAAATAGGTCTATACTAATAGAGACATTTACTTTTGACCTCTAAAATAAAAACTAGATCCGATTTGTTACCACAAATCAATCAATCACGAACGTATTAATACCTCTCTATGGTCACACATAATATGTTTTTAAGTCAATAACAATTATATAATATGAAAAAATAACAACAATTTTATAGGGTAAATCGCTATTTTGCGTTTGAATATCCAGTCGTCAAATTTAATTACTATTCTATCGCTGTGGCTTCACGCTAAACTTTTTTTTTAAATTCTAATCAAATAACATACGAGTCTTGAGAACACGAAAAAAACATATTATTTTCAAGGATACACTTAGGTACGCTATAGCTTTATTTTTTTCTTAGTAAAAATAGGTTTCCACATACGAAATGTACAAGATGAAAAGTTGTGATAAATATTTATAAAGATGACCAATCAATACAGCCATAGTTTAATAAAGACATGCTCGAAAAAAAAAATATTAACTAAAAAAAATCTATATTGGCAT